GGGCCCCAGAGCCCAAGAAGCAGCCGAGGCCTGTCAAGATTTCCCTCTCTTTGTTCCAGAGAAAGAGCTCCCAGGGGCCCCCAGAAATTCATCCCTGGGGACTCCAGCCTCCCTGCTTGGGAAATTAACACATCTGTCAGCGCTGGGCGGAAGGGACTTGAGGGGCAGCCAGTAGGGACAGGATGGCCCTAGGGAGGGGTCCTGGTCCTCACTCAGGTCCCCCAGAAATGCCTGGGAGCTCACCAGGTACCAGGGGACACAGGGCATGAACATCCCCAGCATGGTGTTGACCCAAGGTGCGTCACTGACAGTGATAGGGGGACAGACAGGGGGATGGTCAGGGGGACGGACAGCAGCAGTGGCTGGACCAGAGACAGCTCTGGGCGCTGGAGCCTAGCCTGGCGGGCACTGCAGCTGTGAGTTTGGTGATCCCCAGTACTGCTCTCCAACCCCCAAAGGGCCGAGAGGATGCGAATACGGAGGGGCTGGTGCGAAGGTCCTGGGGGGGAAGAGGGAGGTGAGTAGGCGATCTGGGCACCACAGAGGGAGCCCCCCCAAGTCAGTCCACTGTCACCCCCATCCTGGCTGTGGGAGCCCAGAGCCCCACAGGGTCAGTCTGGGCAGCCCCTCGGTGAGGAGGAAGCTCAGGGAACACAGAGAGATGACTTCCTGTTCCCACCCGGAAAGGGTCCCATTTCTGAGGCGGGGGTTACTGGGCTGGGGCTGAGGGAAGCCCACTCACACCAGGTCCTGGTAGAAGATAAACCCTCTGGGGAAAACGTCACATCCCAGGGCTCAGAAATCCCCACATTGTCTGCACAGTTGGGGTACAGGGTGGGACCCACACACTTCCTGTCTAGGACAGGACCACCATTATATGAAGAATTGGGGCTTGGGGTGGGACCCCGCACTGCTTTCGAGTTGGGGTCTAGAGCCAGACCCCTACACTTCCTGCAGTGTTGGGGCCTAGGGCGGGACTCCCACTATATGTAGACTTGGGGCAGAGGGAAACCCCAACTGCATGCAGAGCTGGAGGGCAGGGCGGGATCCTCACTGCCTGCAAACCTACTGCACAGGATGGGACACCACTCCCTGCAGAATTGGGGTGCACCCCACTACATAGAGTTTGGGATACAGGGTGGGACATCACTCCCTGTGAAATTGGGGTGACAGGGGAGTTGAGGTGACAAAGGATTTCAATTCCTTTCCTCCTCCTCATTGTCACCCCCGGACGTCCTCCTAGAGCCCGGGTGGGGTTTGGGGAACCACATTCCATGAAGAAAGGAAAGAAGACAGCGCAAATGCGTGGCTCATGGCATCAGGGGCAACAGGATGTCAGGGTGTTGGAACTCCTTATCCTGGCTCTCTGTGGGCCCGAGGGTTTTTGGCCTTGCACCCTCATGTCTCTGATGGACCTGGGTCGCACTGACCTCCCTCCTGCCAAGTGGGGTCTTCAGGCTGGAGAAGCAAGTCCGGCCCTCCATGTCCAGGGAATCAGCTGCTAACTTTTCCCAAAACCCCTTCCACCCTCGAGCTTAACCCTCGCAGCTTCCCGCAGCAAATGCTTCTGTGTTTGCACAAACCAATGAGCTTCATCCCTAGAGTCTAAACATCCCACCAAGGGGTGACACCGAGACCGTCACCGTCTGCCCACAGTGTCCAGACGCCCAAGATCCTCAGCCCTGGGCGCTGACAGGAGTGGCTCTCATGCTAATACACAGCAGCACTGGCTTGTCATGTGCTGACAGCCCAAGGGGAAACTGAGTCACGGGTAAGCAGGTGGCCCAGGGCAGCTCCGAGGCTCCATTCTGCCTTGCCTGCCTCCGCAAAGGTACACGTGGGCAATCAGGGAGACCTGGGCCTGGTGGCCGTGAAGAAGTGTCCTGGAAGGGGTAGTGCTGGACAGCCCACCCCAGGCAACCTCAGGGTCATACGCAACTTCTGAAACACACCAGCGCGCAGGCCCACACCCCTGGACACGCACCCACACACCTTGGCACACCTCCAGCCCCGAGCCCCCACGCCCCGCGGCGCCCCGCGGCCACGCACCTGCAGCTGCTGGTCTGGCCTCCCGGACCCCGACGTGCTGCACAACCCGCGGCCCGGAGTCACAGGTGCCCGCGGCGGCCCCGCCCGCGGCGCGGATTGGACGGAACGCGGCTCATTTGCATGGAGGGCGGGGCCCGCCCGGAGCCCGGCGTGGGCCGATGCGGGCTGCTGGGAGCACCTGACCCCCCGCGACCCTGACCACGCCAGCTCCAAGCCTGGATCAAATGCACCTGACTGTGAAGCGCAGCCCCAGCCCCGAAGGTCAGGGCGCCGGCCCTGAGAGCTAACCCAGAGCCCCGCTCTCACCCAGATGGGGGGCTCTGGTATGTGTCCAGCTGTCCGTCTGGCTGCGCTGGCTGGGTGCCCTTCTGGTCGCTCAGCAGTGGGCGAGGGCGCTGACCTCAGCACAGACCTCCGCAGTCTGCTTTCCCTGAATGAGCAGACACCACCCAGCCCCCACCACAAGCAGGCCGAGAGAAAACAGGGTGCGGGGTGGGGGGACTGAATGCGGCTCTAGACAGTGACGTGGGCTCAGGTGATCCTGGAGGTGCCTCTGGGTTTCAGAGTGAGCGGCCGCAGGTGAGGGCCCTGACATGTGAGCAGGAGTTTGCCCCTTTGAGAGGCCACACCACCAGCACAAGTGTAGAGGGAAGGGTATGGAGGGTTTGATGTTAGGGATAGAAAGGGAATGGGGCGAGGTCACTGTGGGTAAGCACCCTGAGGGACGTGCACAGATGGGGGTGTGTGTAACACTGGGGCAAAATGAATGGGTTCCCCAAATGGCCTGGTGCTCACTTCCTGGGAGACCAAAGAGGAAATGCCGAACCCCTTGAACTCAGGGCAGAAGAGGGGGTGGCAGGAGATCAGGGAACAGTGCAGGGGCCCAGTTACCTGACACCCTGGGCCGTGTGGCTCAGCAGTCTGGCCAGCTTTCTCTCTGGGACTGCATGTTGGAGTTCATCTAGTGCCATAATGTGGGAGTAAGCCTCCACCCCCCACCTCCAGTGCCCACCCCACAGGGCCCTATGCCAGGCCAGGCCGAGGGGTGACGGGGTCAGACTGGGGGCTTCTGCCTTGGCTCTGAGCCATAGGAGGCTTGGGGAGCCCTGAGGTGGCTGGGGAGCCCCGGGCCCCCCGAGGGCGCTCTGTTTACCGTGGCCGCCTCTGATGCAACAGGCAGGCTCTGGTTACGTGAGGGATGCAGCTGGGGCGGCTCTGGGAGCAGAGTGGCGGGAGAGGGGGCACAGACAACGCCTTGTCCCCGGCTGTTACTCAGGGGCACCGGGAACCCCCATGAGGGTGGCTGGAAGGAGAGTGGGGGGCGGAGCCTGAAGAATCGGGCGGGTGGGCCGGCAGCAGGCCTGGAAGATTGAGGGGGCGGGGCGTCCCTCCCACTCCCTCTGAGTCTACAGAACCTTCCAGTCCAGGAGGGCAATGCAGGGGACTGGCCCCGGGTCACTCCAATGGCTGTTGGACCCAGCCCATGCCCCTGCAGCTGGTTCACTGGTGATGGATGAGCCGGGACGGTACATGTGACCCCCTTCTCCAAGGACTCTGCCCCCAAAAAGCTCCCCTCTCCTGGCCCTCCCGGTAACCAGTGCTGAGGTTGGGAGCCCGGATCTGGCTGGGGCTGGTCCTTGGGGCTGGGCTGCAGTGTGGCACTGCACTCCGAGGGTCCCTTCCTCAGAAGATGCTGCAGGGCAGGGAGGGGCCCAGTGGGAGGGGTGTGGCACCCCACAGGGTCCCCCAGCACCACCAGGATCCAGGGCACCAATGCGTGTTGCCAAATGCAGCAAGAGTTTCTCAGACAGAACATGGTTCAAAGGAGCTAAGTGACAGCAATGGGGGGCCAGGGGGACTGGGGTGACGCAGTGAGCAGGAGCTGAGGCTGCAGACCCATCTCAGTCACGACCGTACATCTTGCTGGGATCAGCACAGGCCATGTGGGGTCACTCTAGGGCCTCATGTCTTCAAAGCGAGTGAGACATGCCTGGGGGTTTCTCTGGGGGTTTCCTGAAGAACCGGGGCGCCCTGGAGGGCTATAGTGGAGCATGGGGGCACCCCCACTCTGAGGCCGTGTTGAGGGTGCAGAAAAGTGTGGGGGGGACACTCTGGCCAGAGATGAAAGCTGGGCTGGGCCCAGGGCTAAAGACATGTAGTAGATCCAGAATCCGCTTCTGATTCCGGCAACTGAGGGTCAGTTGGATGTGCATCAGTATCGCAGGGGCGTCCTCCGAAGCCCACTCACAGACCTGAAAGCCCTGGAGGCCCACACCTCACCAATGACCGGATCCTCCAGTTTCACCCTCTTACAGGGTCACCTGTGTCCGAGGAACAAGCTGTTCATAAGGCCCGGGGAACGAGGAAGCGCCTCACACCCCCTGGTGGCCAGTCAGGGAGAAGCAGCCTCAGGGAGGAGACACGCAAATATCTTATGCAGATGAGCCACCCCAGGGGGTGCTGGGAGATGGGGCCCGCAGCCTCCTGTTTAGAACCAGACTTGCTGCACTCAAGGGCTGGGGGGGCTGAGTGCCCCGGACCCACCAACTGACACTGCTCCAGCAGCTAAGGCAACCTACTAGGTGCCTGTGTGGGGTCACAGGGCAACTTCCCAGCACACGCTAACCACACAGGCGTGTGGCCAGTCAGATAAAAGGCGGGTGTCTCTGAGAGTAGACGAGGTGTGATCACCCAGACCTATACTCAGCAAACCCCTGAATGCCCTGTTCTATGAAGTTGCAAAGTTACCACCAAGGGCCCAGGGGCTGCTGGGAGGAAAGGCTGGGTGACTGGGAGCCAGGCTAGGGGTGAAGGAGAGGAGGTGAGAGCCACAGGTGTGTGCAACTCTGTTTCACATTGGAGCTGCCGCTACAAGTATCCCCACAGCATCCCACCCCAATGTTGGAGAGCTGAGCCACGGTCATGTCGCCCATCGTGGAGCCAGGATCCGGTTGGGAGGGCGACTGAGGACTCAGAGCAGGCGGGGTCCCTCTGTCCTGTTGATCCTGGGGAGCAGGGACTGAGGTCAGAGGCAGGACGCTGACGGGGAGTCAGCAGTGGAGCGACAGGGGCACCAAGCAGGCGTTAGATGGGGCAGGTTAGTCCAGAGCTCAGCGCAGGAAGCCCCGTCCCTGAGCACTGACCTGGCCCCAAGGGAACACCTCCAAGTCCTTCCTAGATCAGGCCGAGGAGGGCGGGGGCGGATCCTCCGGGCTGGAAGGAAATGAGCAGCGGAGGTGAGACACAGGTCAGTGTGGGCTGGGGTGAAACCAGGGCCCTCCGAGTGTCCTGCAGACGCAGGGCAGGCCTCCCATCTCCCTGCAGGCTGTTCTCCGACAGTGGCACAAGAGTGGCCATGGTAAGGCCTGTCTGTGGTCACTAGTGCTGGGGATCCAACCCAAGTCTTTTTTTTTTTTTGGCCCTTTTTGGGTCACACCTGGCAATGCACAAGGGTTACTCCTGGCTCTACACTCAGGAATTACCCCTGGCAGTGCCCAGGGGACCACATGGGATGCTGGGAATCAAACCTGGGTCGGCCAGGTGCAAGGCAAATGCCCAACCCGCTGTGCTATCACTCCAGCCCCCTAACCCAAGTCTTGCGCAGGTCCAGCAGGAAGCTGCCCGAAAGCAGCAAGGCAAAGCTGGGGCTTCCAGAGGTCCCTCTCCTGTGCCCCAAGCATCAGGGACACAGTCACATGGGGAGCTGCTTCTTCTGAAGCCCCTCCCCCTCTCAACTCCCCCCTCCCCCGTAGCCAGATACACCCAGGTGGAGCCACAGGCCTGCACGGCTTCGTGTTTATTAGTCATGAGGTGGGAACACAGCCCCCGGCTCTTGGGCACACAGGCAGTCAGCTGCACGCTCCCTTCAAGCTCCCACCAGAGCAAGCTCCTAGCAGGCCGCCAGGAACACCCCTCACTTTCGGCTGCAATGCTTCTGTGCTCGGGTACCTGGTGCTGGCACAGGCACAGGCCACGCGCTGGGGCCGAGATGGGGCCACTGGACCCGTGAGCAGTGGCGGCGCGGGCGGCTACCTGTGGCCGTGGGTGCCGGCGTTCATGTGCTCACGGATGCTGATGGCCTGCTTCAGGAGCCCCTCCACGCTGCGGAAGTGCACGCTGCTGTCCACCAGGTTCTTCACGGCGCTGCGGGAGGAGACTGGGTCGGCCCTGCGTGGGCGCACACACACGCATGCGCACGCATGCACACACACACACATGCACACGTGCAGACACACAGAGGAAGGCGCCCTGGGGCTCTCTACCGCCCACCTGCACGCGTACTCCACGGTGTACACAGCGCCCTGGCTCTGCTCCTCCCAGCGCTGCATGTCAGCCTGCGGGGCGGGGTGGGGCAGGGCAAGGCGCTGTCAGCTGGAAAGGGCCGGGTGGGAGGTGGGGGGCTTGCCGCCAGCACCCGGGACCTCCTGCCCACCTTGTGCTGCGCCAGCTCTGGCAGCGAGCGGCGGACATGCTCCTGCAGCCGGTACAGAGCCACCGACGGCTCGTTGGCCAATACGTAGACGCTCTCGGTGAACTTGTCCGTGACTGGGGGGGGGACAGAAGGACACGGCCTCAGACTCTTGCTCCAGCCCCGTCCGGTGCCCCGCGCACCTGTGCTGGGCCACAGGCCGGGAAGGGTCACGGCGGGACACCCTGGTTGGGGGGGGGGGGCACACAAGACTTTCTACCCCATAGTCCAAACACGACACAGCCACCAGCCAGGGCAGCCAAAGCGCCAGGGATTCTGCTTCCTGGATGGCCGCAGCCAAGACGAAGCTAGGGAGCCGGGACGTGCGTGTCCTCTAGAACACCCCAGGGTCATGGGGAACCCCCGCCCGCATCCATCGCCTGTCCCTTAGGTTGCCCTGGGAGGCCGATTATACCCAACTCTGCAGCACAAACTTGGTCACTTCGGAGCCCGGGGACAACTGTCCCCGCCTTCGGCGAAAAGGGACAGGTGCGTGGGGCTGGGTGGCTGACCCCGCCACTTGTTTGTTCGGGGGTCACACCCGGCAGGGCTCGAGGCTCACTCATGGCTCTGCACTCAGGGATCACTTGTGGGGGTGTTCGGGGGACCCTACGGGGTGCCGGAGATCGAACCCGGGCCAGCCACGTGCAAGGCCAGCGCCCTCGCCGCTGTCACTTCTCCCGACCCCGGTTAAGAGGACACACACACAGCGCGAGCCGCGGACAGTGTCCTCGCCTCGCCACGCCGGTCAGGCTGCGAGTCCTCCCGGCGCGCGGGGACCACGCCGACAGAGCTGGCCCGACGCGCCCCACGTCCGAAGGCCAAGCCCAGGTGGGGGCTTGCCCGCGGCGGGACGAGCGCCCCTGGAGCCTGCCCCCGCGCGCCCCCACCGCCCCGCGCCACCTTTCTTCCCCTTGAGCTGCATCTCGGGCTCGTCCATGGCACCCGCGGCCCGGCGCGCCCGGCGGCCGGAAGCGGAAGTGCGCGCGGGGACAGCCGCCAGAGTCTTCCCCCGCGGAGCCGGGCGCCGCGCCGCGCCGGTTCCGAGGCCCGGCAGCGGAGGCGGTGAGGAGTCAGCAGCCGAGAGAGGCGCTCCGGGGGCGGCCATCCCGAAGCTGCCGAGGGCAGGCCACGCGGGGGCGGGGCAGGGGCGCTCTCCGTCCTCCAAGACCCCTTTCCGGGGGCCGGCGAAGTGGGGGCACGCTCCGTCTACTACCCACTTCAAGAGGAATCCTCTCCCTCCTCAGGCCACCATGTTCCGGAGCCTGTCCGTGAGGCCCGGGGCCGCAGAGGGCACATCACTAGAGACCAGGCTCTCTAGCCGGTCCCCGCGAGCGCTCAACTGGGGCTCCACCCACCCTCCTGACGCCGGAGCCCTATTGGTTCCCGGGACGGAGCGGGCGGAGCTAGTCAGGAGTGACCCGCGGTCACGTCACCAGGGCCCGCCCCCGGGCTTCGAGGGAGGCCGACGCGCAGGCGTCGTTTGGGCCCCCGCGGAAGCCACGCCCCTCCCCTAGCCTTAAAGAGCCAGAAGCTGCTCCGGCCGCTTCCCGACCTTCCGCACTTTTGGGGGGGCGGGGGTGCGCAGGCGCAGTGGGGGAGCTCTGGGGTGGGGGTAGCGGCCGCGTATCAAGTTGCTTGCTGTCCCAGCCAGAGCAGCCAGGGCGTTCAGGAGTCCGGGCTAAACCTGCGCCTTAATCCATACATCAATTGGAGGAGAAAAGTTTGTGAATTGGGCCTCCAAGTTTTGGGGGGCTCGGGCTTGCGACACGGGGTGACCGAGGAGGCTCGTGGGAGGTGAGTGGATCGGTGTGCGCGGGCGGGGTGGAGCTGGACCATTCACACCTTTCTTGACGCGTCTACTCCTGCGCGATCCTCCTCCCCCAAATAAATACCGCGATCGTTTGTTCGAGGGTCCCTGCTGCCATTCAGACATGGTGTCTTTTGGACCCATCGTCCTATTTTTATTAGCGAGGAAGCTGGGACATAGGAGGCATGCCGATTCTCCAGCCTGGAAGCGGTTGAGGCCCAGAACAGGGCAGTCTGGAAGCCCGGAGCGTAGGCTGCGCGTCGGTGGGGGAGGAGCGGACCGAAGGGGCTCCCGACCCCCGAGAGCCCCCCCCCGAGAGCCGCGCGTGCAGCCCGCGCCTCGTCAGAGCCTGGACACCAACGGCCCCCTCTTTTCTCGTCCCAGGATTCCCTCATGGAGCCCCACGAGCCTGCAGAGAACCTCAGCCTGACCCCACAACCCTGCTTGCTAGAACTTGGGGACACGGAAGAGCCTGGGGATGAGGCCCCCGATGGTTCAGACACTGTGGTCCTCAGCCTCTACCCCTGCACCCCGGAGCCTGGGATCGCTGATCCGGATACGGGGGCCTCCTTGCCTCAGGGTAGGACGCCAGCCTCCCCCCAGCCCTGCGATTTCCGTTTGCGGCCGGGATGCAGCTCAGTGGCACAGCGCGTGCCTTGCACGCACACCCACGCCCTTCCTCAGCACACATACCAAATAAAACAGAAATTCATGTAGCACAAGCCATTCCATCTGAAACATTTTTGAGCCTTCAAGGGCACGGAGCAGGGTCACCATGGCATGCAGACACCCCCCTGCCTAGTTCCATAACTAATACATCTAGCAGAGCCTTGTCCCCATGAGCAGACACCCCGCCCCTCCCCCCTTGCTTCCTGTTCTGGACTGTTCCTCCCTATGGGTCCCAGTCCAAAGGGCCTGTGAATGTCTGAATCTCACACCAAGGGGAGGGTTCAGGGGCCCCCTGCGGGGCCTGGGGGCTGCCCCCAATGGATATCTTGCTGGGGGGGGGGTTCCTTTGGAGGCTGTCTCAGCCCCTTGGGGCAGATATAGGGGAGCAGCTGAGCTCAACTTGGCATCACCCCTGGGAGCCATTCTCTGGGGGTCTCTGTGGGGTCCTGGCTCCCACTCAGGGGAGACTGAGGCCCTCCGGTATCCCGGCAGGCAGCTCCCTGAAACACTCCACGACCCTCACCAACCGGCAGCGGGGGAATGAAGTCTCGGCACTGCCGGCCACCCTGGACTGTGAGTGCGTCTTTCCCTTGATGGGTGATGGAAACTGAGGCGAGGCGGGCGGGGCCAGGAGAAAACTCCACATGTCTCTGGTCTACAGCCCTGTCCATCCACCAGCTGGCCGCCCAGGGGGAGCTGAGCCAACTGAAGGAGCATCTGCGGAAAGGTGACTGTCCCCCGTGCTGTCCCCACTGTCCCCCTCTGCCCTCTCACTTCTGACACCATCCCACTTCTGCCAGGTGACAACCTCATCAACAAGCCGGATGAGCGTGGCTTCACCCCCCTCATCTGGGCATCGGCCTTCGGGGAGATTGAGACTGTCCGCTTCCTGCTCGAGTGGGTGCGTCCCGGGGCCCCCCGAGTCTGCTAGTGTCTGCCAGGGACGCCCCCTCCCAGCCATCGCGGCTTCCTCTGTCCCCCCCAAGGGTGCCGACCCCCACATCCTAGCCAAGGAGCGGGAGAGTGCCCTGTCCCTGGCCAGCACGGGCGGCTACACCGACATCGTGGGGCTCCTGCTGGAGCGAGACGTGGACATCAACATCTACGACTGGGTGAGGGTGCCGGGCCGTAGATGCTTCTCCAGGCTGCAGCGAGGTTGTGGGGAGTGCTGTGGCGGCAGGCACCGGAGCCCAAAGGGCACATGTTGGGGTGGGGGGGTGAATTCCAGGAGGGTTTCCTGGAAGAAGGGTCGCTGAGCTATGAACTGGACTCGCAGGAGGTGGAAGAAATTGGAGGCGGGTGTTATGGGTATCGGGCAGAATATACAACGGTTGCCCTGCCCCTCCCCTCCCACCCCAGAATGGAGGGACGCCGCTGCTCTACGCGGTGCGCGGGAACCACGTGAAGTGTGTGGAGGCCTTGCTGGGTGAGTGGGGGTCCCGGGACCTGTCTCGCTCTCTGGGAGGAGGGGACTTGCCAGCTGGCCCCTGGCCTCCTTGGGAGGGGTGCAGTGGACACTGGCAGCTCACAGGCCAGCCTTGCAGCCCTCCTAGAGCCCCAGGTGGCCACCCCCAGGCTGGCTGCTGTCCCCCAGGCCCAGCCCCAAGTGTCCACTCTGTTTGCAGCCCGAGGCGCCGATCTCACCACCGAGGCGGACTCTGGCTACACCCCGATGGACCTGGCTGTGGCCCTGGGATACCGCAAAGGTTGGGCTGAGCCCCGCCAGGTGCAAGAACCCCACGCCCCAGGAGGCTAGTGCTGGCAGCAGCCGCTGGATGACTGCGTGCCCAGTGCCTAGCCTGGGCCCTGAGCATCCCGGTGCCCCTAGTGCATATGGATGCTGAGAGGGGTGCCACCAGGGTTCCCAGGGCAGGAAGACAGGGCTGTGGCGAGGGCTCAAAGGGCCAGAATGCAGCTCTGCATGCAGGAACCCGAGTTCAAAAAAGCCAGCAGCAGAAGCCATAGGGAAGCAGGAACTCCGCTCCCCGCATCCCTAGCGGTTCCTGAGTTCCACCAGGAATGAGCCCTGAGCACAGCGCCAGGAGTCATCTCAGAGCACCCGTGGGTGTAGCCTCTAAAATAAACACCAGCAGTACACAATCGTCCGGCACTGCAGGGTGGTGCCACAAGCACAAAAATAAAATTCAGGGGCTGGAGCGATAGCACAGCGAGTAGGGCGTTTCCCCTGCACGTGGCCCACCCAGGTTCGATCCCCAGCATCCCATATGGTCCCAGCACTGCCAGGAGTAACTCCTGAGTGAAGAGTAACCAGGGTGAAGAGTATTCCAGGAGTAACCGATGAGCATCGCTGGGTGTGACCCAAAAAGCAAAAAAAAAAGTCAAGGGGCTGGAGAGATAGGACAGTGGGGAGGGCGTTTGCCTTGCATGTGGCTGACCCAGGTTTGATCCCTGGTATTCCATAAGGACCCCCAAGCACTGCCTGGGGTAATTCCTGAGTACAGAGCCAGGAATAACCTGTAAATTGCCAAGTGTGACAAAAAAAAAAAAAAGTTCAAGGCTGGAGTCATAACACAGCGCGGGACACTGGGACAGCAGGGAGGGCACTGGGCTTGCACACAGCTCACCTGGGTCCCTTCTCAATCCCTAGCATCCCATAGGGTCCCCTGAGCACTGCTAGGAGTGCAGAGCCAGCCCTCCTGGGGCTGTGGACCAGGCTGCATGAGCTGGGGGGGGTTCCTCTGGGTGACAGGGGTTGAGTGCTTGACTAGTACACCCCTCGGAGCAGAAGCATCTTCCCCAACCAATCTGAGAAGTTCATGGTTTGCTGGGGCAATGCCTTTATAATCCCAGGCACCCTCGGGAGGGCACCTTGGCACAGAGATCAGGGAAGCTGAGGCCTGGTGTGGAGGGAGCCTGTTTGGTCCTCTCAGGGGCAGCAGTAGTGGTGGGTGTGACCCCACATCCCCCACCCACTCACACTGTGTCTCCTGTCCCATCTGGGTCCAGTGCAACGGGCCATCGAGAGCCACATCCTCCGGCTCTTCCAGAGTGACCTGACTCCTGCCAAGGGCGAGTGAGGACAACCAGCCAGGAACTCCGGACACTCAGGGAGCAGAGCAAAAGGCCGACACAGGGCCAGGGACGCCCAGCACCTGCTTCCAAGGCAGCTAGGCTCCTGGCTGGACCACAGGCAGCTGGGAGAGGGGTCCTTTCCCCAGCTGGGAACCAATAAACCTTTTTGTGCAGAACCCAGGGAATTGCTGTGCTTCCTGGAGGTTTTTTTGGAGGAGGTGGCAACTCAGCTGTCCTCACACCTTCTCCCCCAGCACCAACAGGTGGTAGATGACCAGGCGGCCAAAAAAGTCAGTGGGGTCCTCCAGGGTCACCTTCAGCCGGTCCACTTCAGCAGTCGGTACGGGGAAGGTGTGAACATGTGCAGTCAAGGCCAACAGCATCTAGTGTGAATCGCCACCCTTCCCTCCCCTCCCCTGCCCTCCAGACCCACCACTCCTGAGGCTACAGCCCTGCTGGAGCCCACCTGAGTCCTGCTCATGTCTGGCACCCAAGACTCACAGAATAGGATATCTGCAGGGCATTGCTGTCCTCAGGGTAGAAGTCCAGAATCTTGTCAAGATCCCCGGTGCCCTGCGCTCCTGACAGAAGGCCATGGTGAGGCCTGGGTGCCCGACTGGCACCCCGCCGTGCAAGCCCCGCCCGCCCAAGCCCATCAATACCTTCCAGGCGGCCACGGCGACAGGAGAAGCCCCCTTGGAACTGGATCCGCAGCTGGGACACCCTCACGCACTGCGGGAACTCCAGCGTCACCCACTGGGCGGGGCCCTGCGTGCCGGCGCGGAAACCGAGTCGGGAGGTTGCAGGCGCGTGTCCTGACACCTCCCAAGTCTCGCTACCACGGTCCGGGGCGGGGGTGGGTGATGGGGGCCCCCACCCCGATCCTGAAGCCTCACCTGGTCCGAGCTCCAACACGTCTCCTCCACTTGGTCGAACAGGTGCTTCTTGCCGAACTCTCGGGTATTGCGATTCAGCACGGAACTCACCCTGGGGACGCGCGCACCGGGGCGGGAAAGTGCTGAGCCCACCTGGGGGACCCTCGGCGGCCGCACCCGCCCCTTCCCAGCTCTCACCTGCTCACGGTGTCGGGGCACACCAGCGAGTGGCTCATCCCTGAGACTGTCAGACTGCACCTGTGCGGGGAAGGACCCGCAGTGCCCACGCGCTGCAGCCGATCACCCCTTCCGCGGAAACGGGGAGCCCGGGGACGTTCCCGCGGCTGGAGCCTCGCACTTCCGGCCGCTGGGAGCCCAGGAAACAGACTTCCAGGCCTGCCTCAGTTTCTCCGCTCCCAGCGCGCGGGAACCCGGAAGTGCGGCCCAGGCTTTGGGCTCTGCGCAGGCGCAGCGCGACTAGGGCTTGTGTCTCCCCCCCCCCCCACCACCACCACCACCAGAGTAAATTTGCGGCCCGCCCCTTAAAGGGCCCGCGCCTGAGCTCTCGCTTACCTAGGCATGCAAGGTTGGGCACCTGCCAGGCTCAAGTGTCCCCTGGGTTCATCACCTCCAGCAAAGTGGCTCAGAGCCGTAGGACAGCGAGGAGGGCGTTTGCCTTGCACGCGACTGACCCGGGTTTGATCCCCAGCGTCCCATATGGTCCCCCAAACCCTGAAAGGAGTGGTTCCTGAACACAGAGCCAGGAGTAACGCCTGAGCATTGTTGGATGTGGCCCAAAAGCAAATGAACAGGCAAAAAAGATGGCTCAGGCAGAAATGAGTGGGAGGAGGAGGGCGTGAGTTGGCTTTTGAAGGACACATAAGGGATAGTTTCCAAGCTAAAGATTAAACAAAATACACCATCTTCACCACCACCCATCATTTCTGGGTGATGCTGGGAACAATGACAAGTCTCCAATCTGGGGAAAACAGATCCCTGTCCCAGGGGGTCAGAGCTGAAGCAGAAAGAGAAGGGGTGGGAGTGATGGGAGGGGGTGCAGACAGGGCAGGCAGGAAATCAGCAGGATGAGAAAATGTGGAGGGATAAGGCTGGGCTGGCTGGAAGGTCATGAATCTGCAAGCAGGATGTGGAGCAGATCCCTCTGGGCACCGAGCTGCCATGGAGGTGCCGAAGAAGGGCGGCACCCCATCTGCGCTGCATGAATGGAGGTTCCCAGGCAGCCCGCTCTGGCAGGCAGTGCTCCTGGCTTCTGCTGAATGCTCTGGGATCCAGTCCCTTTGAAGGGCTGGGAGGGGGGCACCCCTGACATCCTCTGAGCGACGGTCCAAGCCCACTGCAGGAAGGAGGGGGCTGGCTGGGAAACTGGGCCGCCCAAGGGTCTGCCAGCACTTCCTGTTGGGCTTGTCATTCAGATGCCACTCTGGGCTCAGGGCTGGGCTGGGGGCACAGGAGACACTCTCCTACCAGCAGAGAAACTGGAGAGTGTTGGAATCTTCACGTCCTGGCTGGGTAATGGGCAGCAGGCAGGCTGTGTGACCTCCAATGAACCCCATAATACCTCAAAGCTTTGTTTCCTCCCTTGATAGGGATTTGTTAGTTTTGTGTGTGTGTGTGTGTGTGTGTGAGTGTGTGTTTGCGAGGGGAGAGGGGCAGGGGAGGTACTCAGGGATCACTCAGGTTGGTGCTTAGGGGACTCTGCAGTGCCAGGGATTGAATGGGCATCGACCACGTGTGCACATGGGAGGCTGGTGTCCTAGCTGCTGTGCCATCTCTGAGACAGGGCAGCTTCAGCTCTGGGACCACAGAAGCATCCTTGGCTGGGGACTGATACACACCTACACAGTCCATGTGTAGGCTGTGGCACCCGACTCCACAGCTAAGGATGCAGCAGCTCAGCCCAGGCTCCCATGAGGCTCAGCGTCTCCCTCCCCCCCCACACACACCCAGGGACAGGAAACCGCCTGGCAACCGGGAGGGGGCCAGCTTGCACCCCTTCCTGCCTCCTCACCCCACCGGCGCCTGGCATGAATGAGAGGCCTGTTTCTCCAGGGAATTAGCAGCCCTGGCTCCCAGCAGGAGCAGCCAAAAGTGGCCCATTCATTTGCCTGAGAGAGAACCCACGGGCCCTGCACCCCCCCACCCCACCCCCCACACACGCTCAGACTGGGCAGGGGCTCTGGGAGACACAGGCGCCTCTGGTTCGCAGAGGGAAACCGAGGCAAAGTCATTTTCTCTGGAGAGATTTCAGCCCCAATCTAATCTGGGTCCGGAATTCGCCTCCTTTGCCCTCCACCCCTGCCCCCCGCCCGGAGCCTGGGAGCTCGGGAGGGCCAGCGATTAGCTGAAGACCTGCCAGTGAGGAGAGTCCAGTAGGCCCGGGTGTGTCTCCTTGGGATCCCGGGCGGACCCTCCCAGGTGCTGGATTTTTTTTTTTCTTTTTGGGTCACACCCAGCGATGCTCAGAAGTTACTCCTGGCTCTGCACTCAGGAATTACTCCTGGCGGTGCTCGGGGGACCATATGGGATGCTGGGAATCGAACCCAGGTCGGCTGCGTGCAAGGCACATGCCCTACCCGCTGTGCTATGGCTCCAGCCCCCCAGGTGCTGGACTCTGACAGCAGAGGAACCCAGAGGACTGGAGGGGACTCTGCCCACGATAGGGTGCTATGCGCTGACCCGTGCCAGACGCCCCGTCCTGCGAAGATGCCCTCGCGTGAATGGCGTGCGCAAGGTGGACAGACGCCTGGGCAGCGGGGCCCAGAGTATAGGCGGAGAAAGCGTTCAGCCTTGTGGACAGGTGAGGGCGTGACCCCGCTGTGGGCGTGGCCTCGGGGCGTGGTCACGTAAGAAGTAAGGCGGTGTGGCCAGGTGTGTGGGCAGAGGCCGCGGGGTCAGGTGAGGGTGTCTGACCAGAGGACAGTGGGTCCTGCCTATCTAAGGGGTGTCAGTGGTGCGGTGACATGTGCGATGAATGAACTGAGTCTGGATGAGAGTTACCTGGGCCCCGCTGTGTGCAGAAACCCGCCTTCTGCTCCCGGATTTGCCCCCTCCGCCAACCCCCACTGACTGCAGCCCTGGCAGGGTCCCAGCCTGGGGGACCAAGAGGCACCAAGGTCCCCGTGCCAGCTCCGGCCTGTAAATGGCTCTTTGAGGCCTCTGATTCCCAGGCCAGGGAGCCTCTCAGAAGCCCCGGGCAACGGCCCGCCCCCGGGCTGCAGGCCAGCCCCTCTTAGCTCAGCCCTGCATAGCACAGGGGCTGGGGTCCGGCAAGAAAGGGGGTCTGAAGTCAGGGACCTGGGCCCCCTTGCCTGGCCCCGCCCTATTGCACAACCTCAGGCAGGAAGTCCTCTCCGTGCCTCGCTTTCCCGCTGAAAGGTGGGCAACCGAGCCCAGAGTCCAGGCGGTGAGGCTTCAGTACGATCCCGTTTCCCACACCTGGTCCCCTGAGCACCGCCAGGGGTCGGTCCTGAGCAGCGCAGGCCTGGCGGGTGGGTCCTGGCAAAGCACCTGCCAGCTGCCTGCACCCCCACAGAGAACCAAACCGGTTTCTTTCCTTTTGTTTTGAGGCCACACTCGGAGGTGCTCAGGGGCTACACCAGGTTCTGCGCTCCGGGCCGGGGAGGAGCCCAGGGCTCCATCCACCACTGTGTCCAGCCAGTGGTGCCCTCTAGGGCTGCCACCCAGAACCTTGGAGAGTCCAGCAAGACCCCCACGCTGCCCTTCCGCTCTCGCTCTGCGTGACTGTGGGAGCGATTTCTCCTCCTGGGACTCAGTTTCCCCATCTGTAAGATGGAGCCAATCCAACTACCGGGCATCAGGAGACCCGCACCGGGGCCCCTGGAGCGAAGGGAGGAGCGTGGGACGGAGTATGCCCGGAAGGGCAGTGGGCGAATGGGCGGCGGCGCGGGGGTCCTGGAGAGGCGCCCCTTCCTTCCCGCAGCGGCCTCCGGGCGGGGGCGCATGCGCAGCGCGGCCGGCGGCCCCTTTATAAGCGCGCGGCGGCGCGGGCGAGCTGAGCGCAGGGCGCGGGGCTGGACCCGGTGCCGCGCGGGCCGAGCCGCGTCCTTTGTGCCGGTGGCCGAGCGCCCCGCGATGCGTCCGAGCTAGGAACCAGGTGGGGGTCCGTCGTAGGGAGGGTGTCGCGCGGCGGGGAGCAGTCCTCGGGATCTGAAAACGGAGTCCTGCATTAGGGATCAAAGACGCCCCCCTAACCCAGAATGGGCAGGGGGCGGAGGGGGGGAACCCCCGGGGTGACGGGAGGGGTCTGCGGAAAGTCAGCGGGACACCACCGGTGATGGGAGAGGAGGTTGTCGGAGGAACGAGGAGCCAGCACCCCGAGGTTGGAACGGGTCCTGGCCGGGGTGGGTCTGTCAAAATTGGGGAGGGGGCGCTGGGAGCCAGACCCAGAGGAGGGGCGCCCGGTGCTGAGGAGAAGATGGGGACACCCACATGTTGTATGCAGGACTCCAGAACAGAGTACCCGGGCGTCTGAGCTGAGACACCCCAGGGTTTTAAGTGGGGATTCCCAATTTGCAGATGAATGGAGGACTGGATTCCGGCTGGGCTGCAGCGGGGAGGGGGCACCCCAGATCAGCCTGGCAGCTGGTGTGTGTGGAGGGGTCTGCACACCTCGGGGGAGGGGCGCCTGTCCTGCTCTTTCGGCCTGGGTAGTCACTGCCGTGGTCTGAGTAAGGGAAGAAGCTCTGGGAGGCTCCATCCTTGGGGTGTCCCCAGCTTGCCCAGGACCTGGATTTGGGGTGCTACCCGCTCCAGGGAGCACATTGGGCTTCCAGGGCGAATGCTGGGTGCAAACCCCCTGCGACATCCACTACAGAGCTTCTGGACCAGTGGGGGCACCCAGCCCCCCCCCAAGAGGCAGCCTGGGGCACCTCCACTTTTAACCACGTCCTCCCTCCCTGAGGACACCTCACCCTCTCTTCTTCAGTCTCATATTTCCCTAAGGACCTGTGTGAAGGTTCTGGCTTGGTTTGGAGACACAGGCGCTGGGAAGTGGGGGGCTGGGACCCCCAGCCAGGCACACCGGCTTTGTTCCTCAACAGCGTGAATGGGAGACAGCCAGGCAGAGGAGGGGGCTGGCGCTGGGCCCTGGGAAGGGGGGAGGGGAAGTCTGTGTGTGGGACCCCAGGACCCAGCTGACATCTCCCTGAGAAAGGGGCGCCTCCTACAGAGGGGGGGGGGGCTTTGTGCCCAGGGGCTGCTGAGGGTCGGGGTTCTCCGGGGAGTCTGATGTGGAGGGGTGTCTTTGTCAGGAACTTGTGTCTGGTCCACGGCGGGCGGCCAGAGGAGGGGCGCCAGCCAGTCCCCAGGGCCACGTTCCCAGCTGGTGTGTGCCTGGTGCGGGGAGCGGGGAGCGCGGCGCCATGCCCGGATTGTCTCTTTGTTAGTGTCACCACGCGTGGAAGCCGCCGGGGGGTCTCGGGGCTGTCTGGGATGTGCGCCCGCCCTGGGAACCCAGAGCATCTTCTCTGCGTGACTGGCCTTGGGCAGAGTTGGGAACTGACAGAGTGGGGACAGGGCAGGGGTGCAGGTCCCCTGGGGGTCAGTCTGGCTTCCTTCCTCCACATGCCCGGAACCCAGACAGGCGTACTGGCTCCCGCCCCCAAGACACACATCCCTGCTCTTGCCTGGGGCAGCCACTCCGGGTCCCCGGGTCCCCAGCTCCACCCAGAGCACAGACAGACACCCCACAGGGCACCCCCTCACCAGTGTCCCTGGACACAGTACCCTGAAGTGTCAGACCTTCGCACATAGAAATGCTCTTGGCACTCACCTACCCCCACACATGATGCTGAAGAGTGGGGAGGAGGGTCTGGGGAAGGGTCTCTCTCTCTCTCTCTCTCTTTCTCTCTCTCTCTCTCACACACACACATCACACACATACACATTCCCTCCCTTCTGTGCAGCCCAGCCCCCACCTTGCCCCTCTTCCTCCAGGCAGCCCCCTGATTGCATATGCATGAGCTCCTGCATTATTCACGAGGGGCCCAGGCCCCCGGCAGCTGTGTCAATGCTCACCTCTCGCTTCCTTCCAGTAGAGGTGTTTTAAGAGAAGGGGGTGCAGGTGTTTGAGGGCACCAGTGAAGGGGATGAGTGTGCCTGATGGATGGGGTGGGGGGGCTGCACCAGAACCTGGAACTGCCAGAACTGCCAGCAGGCCGTGGGGATTCTAGGATTCCTGGGACCGGACAAGCCTGAGCTCTTTCCTTCCTCACAAGAACCTCTGAGGACCCGAGCGACAGGACAGTGGGGAAGGCGCTTGCCTTGCACATGGCTGACCTGGGTTCAATCCTGGTTTCCCTGAGCACTGCCAGGAGTGATTCCTGAGTGCAGTCAGGAGTAAGCCCTGAGCACTGCTGGGTGTGGCCAAAACCCAACAAACAGAAAGAGACAAAAAAAAAAAAAAGAAAGAACCTTCTGAGGTATGGATTCCTGTTTTACAGGTGGGGAAACTGAGGCACAGAGAGCTTTAAGCAGAGTCTCTGGGGTCATGCTGAGTACAGGGAGCAGAGGATGGGCCCAGTGCCAGGTCTGAAGCATACCTGTGTGTCGGGGAGAGAGACAAGAGTGAGACAGAGACAGAGAGAGAGAGGGGAGAGGGAAAGCGAGAGGGTCCTCTGACCTCACCCCATGAGGCCACCCTGGGACCTGACGATGCTCGGCTGGAACAGCCCTCTAGGATCCCACAGTTGTTCAGGCCCTGAGCAGGAATCTATAGATGCCCAGAAGGGAAGCGGAGACACAGACATTGACAAGGCAGTGGCAGGGGGCACCATCTCAGGACAAGACTCCGTCCTGCTGTGCAGCCTCAGGCATATCACATGCCCTCTCTGATTCCTGGGGTTGAGTGCCTCAGTAAGAGGTGGAGCCAGTGCTCCTGGTTGCCGGCTGCAGGCTTCAGCACCATGGACAGAGTCCGCGGGGGGCAGTGCTGACCCCATCCTCGCTACCCTTCTTAGGGGGTGCAAGCCTTAGAGGGGGCACAGGAGCTGGTGTCTGGGTGAAGCTCTGATTCCCATGGACCCCCACGGCGCCGGCTGGAGACTGGATTTCTGGTCTCTGCAGGGACGTGGGGTCTGGGCAGGCACAGCCATGGCCCCGCATCCATCACAGGGCTTGCTTGATACCGCGTGGGCGTCGGGGACGGTACCTGCTGCCCGTGGCCCACAAGTCCCCCAAGGCAGCTCCACAAGGTTGGGGGGGGCAGGGAGAGTGGGGTGGGCTGGGGCGAGGCCCCTGCCTACAGCTGGGATTTGGCATCGCCTCAAAAAAAAAATCCCAGGAGCCAAGAATAGAATCTTGGCGACAGCCACGTCCTGGAACTGAAGCTGAGAATCGTGCCAGCCAGCAAGGCCCGGATTCAAGGCTGGTTAGCGGGCCTGGTGGGCACTGGGGTGGAGGAGGCGTGGGGGCGGGGCGGGAGAGGACTCGGGGCCAGAGCATGTGGCTGCTGCCCTAGTCCGATCCCTGCACCACATGCCCTGGTCCTTGCACACTGAGCCAGGAACAGCCCTGAACATAGCTGGGAGTGGGACCCTCCAAAAAGTGTCTCCCTTTTTCTGGCCACGTCCCTCAGTGCCCAGGGGCTACTCCCTGAGCTCTGTGCCTGGGGGTCACTTCTGGAAGCTTAGTGGGACCATTCCGCACAGGGACGTGCACTCAGCCTGCCCACTTCTCTATGGCTGCTCAGTCTTTTAAAACACTTTTGCAGGGGTGAGGGGGCTCCCCAGGGGCCTGGAGGTCAATCCCAGGACTGGTCAGTGCTCAGGACCAGCAAATGGGTGCTGAGTGAAACTATCAGATGGGTCTGGAGAAATTGGATGGCGGGAGGACATCTGCCTTGAAGGCGTCTGGCTTGGGTTTGATCCTCAGCATCCCATGGGGTTCCCTGAGCCCCTAGCTGTGATCCCTGAGCACAGAGCCAAGAATCAGTCCTGAGAAATGCCTGGTGCAGCCCCGAAACAAAAAAATAAAACAAAATGAAGCCAATGGTGCTGAGAGCCATGGACCATCCCGTCCAGGAGGTGCTGGGGACCCTGCAGGCCCTGAAGCCTTGGAGCCACCGCGACAGCACAGGGCTCAGGGCATTTGCCTTGCAGTGGCCAGCGCCTGTTTTCTCCTTAGCATTGAATAGGGGACCCAATCCCTGCCAGAAATCAGCCCTGAGCACTGCCAGCTGGGGTCAGAATATATAAAAATAAACTTGGGTCCTTGTGCAAGTCACATACCCCACCCTGGAGCTCTCTGGCTGTTTCCAGAATAGGGGGGTTTGATCTTGCCCGTGTTCATGTCAGACCGAATGCAGCAGTGACAACAGCTGAAATGCAGCCCTTTTTGCGGGTCACCTGAGCATTTTCGTGCGATGGCCGAGCTGGTCTCATCAACTCACGCCTATTTCTTCACTCTAGTCTGTGAGGAACTGAGGCCCTGCCAGGGTCACACAGCCACAGAACGGGCAGCGAGAGCCCCGGGTCTGCTTTCCCCACAGTGTGTGCTGGGCATCGGGGTCCAAATTCCAGCTTGGTCCTTGGTGGTCGCAGGCTGTGTGACCCCAAAGGAGTCACTGGCCTTTCTGGTTTTCTGATCTGCAAGGGAGGCATGTGGGGAGGCAAGGCTAGGCCTAGTCAAACACAGGGATTTCGTGACCGTTCATCCATCCCTCTGCTTCTTCCTCCAGGTCCAGGATGGGGACCCTGTGGGTCTGGGCCGCAGGCCTGCTGATGCTACAGGCCCTGCTCTTGGAGGCTGCGGAACCAGGTAATTGGTTTGTGTGTGTGCATGTGTGTGTGTGTGTGCATGCGTGTGTGTGTGCATGTATGTGTAAGAAACAGAGGCTGGGATTTGGGGGCTGACAGGCTCTGTCCCTAACTGGCATGTTTCCCCCACTGCTTCCCTGGGTTGTTCTGGAGAAGAAAACAGGAATAGATGAAAAAGGTCTTTGAACAGTCAAAAGTGAACAAGGCACCTGAAAGTTATTTTTAGTACTTGCCAGCCCGGGCTGGAGGTTCCTGCCTCGCAGGTTTTGGCTGAGGTGAGCTGAACAGAGGAAGCAAGAGAGAAATGAGGCTCCCGGCATAGCCCACTGGGGCTGCCTGCCAGGATGGGCAGTTGGCGGCTCGGGGCCTTCCGCATGCCCAGGGCCCTCCGCGTGCCTGGCCCTGTGTTTCCAGTCCCTCTGCTTTGCTCTGGGTTATCAGATCAGTTGTATGTCTCTGAACCTCAATTTCCTCAACCAGCGCTCTCCCCCCAACCAAAGATATTAAGTTGGCTACTGCTACAAAAGTTCTGAAAATCAAACGGGCTGATTTGGTCACGGAGGTGGGTTTGAGCAGCTGCCCTGTGTGGCCTTCTCTGTCCGGTGAGAGACAGTGTGCTGGACTACGTCCCTGAGCCGGGCCCCCTCACCCCCGCCCCCAGGCACCCAGAGTAGCAGCGCAGACAAAGGACTCTACCTGCAGAAGTTGGGCCCTGGGCCTGTGCGTGCCGCGCTGGCCGAGCTGGTGGCTCTGCCCTGCCTGTTCGTCGTGCGGCCGCGGCCCGACGCCAGTCGAGAGGCGCCCCGCATCAAATGGACCAAGGTGCGCACGGCATCTGGCCAGCGGCAAGACACGCCCATCCTTGTGGCCAAGGACAACGTTGTGCGTGTGGCCAAGGGCTGGCAGGGCCGTGTGTCGCTGCCCGCCTACCCCCGGCATCGAGCCAATGCCACGCTCCTACTGGGGCCGCTGCGCGCCAGCGACTCGGGCCTCTACAGCTGCCAGGTGGTGCGGGGCATCGATGATGAGCAAGACCTCGTGCCCCTCGAGGTGACCGGTAAGAGGCAAGAGGGAGGGACAGCGGGAAGCGGAGCCGGAGGGGTCGGTACCAGAAGGGGCGGGCCTAGGAGGGGGCAGGGTCGGGTGGGCGGGATGGGGGCATGGCCCGTTGTGGGCGGAGTCGGAAAGTCGGTCACCGCCACGTCTCTGGCTCCAGTGTGGTTGTCTTTGGATCTGATGATGCCCTCATTGTCCCTCTCTTCTTTTTTTTTTCTTTTTGGGTCACACCTGACAATGCACAGGGGTTACTTCTGGCTCTGCACTCAGGAATTACTCCTGGCAGTGCTCAGGGGATCATATGGGATGCTGGGAATCGAACCCGTGTTGGCCGGTTGCAAGGCAAACGCCCTACCCGCTGTGCTATCACTCCAGCCCCTGTCCCTTTGTTCTGACCTGCTTCACTGCACTGTTTCATGGGCTTCCGTGACCCGGTTTTCTTCCCCCAGTGCCAGGCATTGAACCTGGTCTCATGGGTGTACGACACGAGCTTCACACTGAGCCACCGCCCAGCCCTTTTCTTAAGTCTGTGACCACTTTGACAAAAGCAAAAGGAAGTTTCTGTGTCACAAAGGAACCCGGGACTGGGAGGTTGTATAGAGGTTAAGGTGCATGGGTGAATTCTGGATTCTATTCCTGAGTACAGATGTCCCCCTCCCCAGCGCCAGCAGGACTGACCAGGACAAAGACCTAAACACCACTGGCTATTGCTTCAAAACAATTATATTTTGGGGGAGGAGGGAACCCACTTGTGGTCATGCTCAAGGGATAATCCTGGCTCTGCACTCAAGGATCATTTCTGATCACAAGGGACCCTGTGGGGTGCTGGGGATCGAACCTGGGTCGGCTTCATGCAAGGACAGTGCCCTCCGCGCTGTCTTACTGCTCTGGACCCTCTTCTCTAAATGAACTGATGCATCACCCGCCCCCCCATCTGTCCCATTGTCTCCCCTATTAGGCGTCGTGTTTCACTACCGGGCAGCCCGGGACCGCTATGCGCTGACCTTTGCTGAGGCCCGGGAGGCATGCCGCATGGGCTCGGCCACCATCGCTGCCCCACGCCACCTGCAGGCCGCCTTTGAGGATGGCCTGGACAACTGTGATGCTGGCTGGCTCTCCGACCGCACCGTCCGGTGAGGGGGCGACAGAGGGCCCTGGGGTGGGGGTGGGTGCAGGCCAGGACTACTCATGCCAAATCCCTCCTTGCCTTGCCAGGTATCCCATCACTCAGTCGAGGCCTGGTTGCTATGGCGACCGAAGCAGCCTTCCGGGGGTTCGGAGCTACGGCAGGCGTGACCCTCATGAACTCTATGATGTGTATTGCTTTGCCCGGGAGCTGGGGGGTAAGTCCAGGGCTGCCAGAACCCACATCCTAGCCCATTATCCTGCCCACCACCCACCTCTCCCTAAGTCCCTGCCTGGCTCTGTTTTCTCTGAGCCTGCCATCTCTGAGCTCTGGTGATTAGCCGAGGGGTAATGCACGGAAGCCTGGAGAGCTTGGACAGAAAGGAGGGGGCTTGCCTTGCACATAGCACACCCAGGTTCAATCCTTGGCATAGGGTCCCCCGAGCACTGTCAAGAGTAATGTCTTGAGTGTAGAGCCAGGAGTAATTCCTGCGCAATGCTGAATGTGACCCAAAAACAAAAGAGTGGGGGGAGTTCAAGCACAGGCCATGTACATCCAGGCTCCGGGTGGCTCCCCAAGGCAGCATGACCAACCCCCACTCCCAGGCACCACCAACCCCACCTGCTTCAGAGAGGCCCTCCGGTGCCCTCCGCCTTTCTCTGAAGCTTCATTAAAACAAGTCAGGGACGCAAAGGGTTGGAGTGCATGCTTTGCGTACAGGAACACTTGTGACTCATTCCTTCAAACCCCTCTCCAGCACCTCTGGGAGTGACCCCCAAACCCCCGCAATCCAAACCAACACCTCCCCCAAACAAAACCAACACCAAAAACACAACGATGGACTCGTTGCAATGAGAATCGTTTTCGTGGCTCTGGAGGCGGTCATCAGCCGCCCCTCACCCCACCGCACCCCCCTCCCCCGCCCCCAACAGGTGAGGTCTTCTACGTGGGCCCCGCCGGCCGCCTGACACTGGATGGCGCGCGTGCGCAGTGCCGTCGCCAGGGCGCCACGCTGGCCTCGGTGGGGCAGCTGCACCTGGCATGGCACGAGGGCCTGGACCAGTGTGACCCGGGCTGGCTAGCCGATGGCAGCGTGCGCTACCCGATCCAGACCCCGCGGCGGCGCTGTGGGGGTCCAGCTCCGGGCGTGCGCACCGTTTACCGCTTCGCCAACCGCACTGGCTTCCCGGCACCTTCAGCCCGCTTCGATGCCTACTGCTTCCGAGGTGCGTGGGGTGCATGGGGTGAGAGCATGTCCAGAGGGTGGCCATACGCAGAGCGAGGGTCCTATGCTGACCACCTCCCCAAGAGTACCCCTGGGAGGGGGCGTTACAAAGGCACTTGCCTTGCAGTCCCCAGTACCTCCAGGGTGAGCTTTGAGCACTGAGCGAGGAATGACCCTTGGGTGGTGGCCCTCTGCGGGATAGAGGATACGACTGCCATGGAGGGGTCCCTGCAGGTCACACCAAGAACACGCCCACGATGGGCGTCTCCAACCCGGCAAAGAGGTTACACAGAGGCTGGGTCCCCAAGAACTTGCGCCTGGGCGGAGGCCACGCCCCTGCGCTCTGCGTTCTGATTGGCTGCTGGACTTGCCCTGAGCAAAGCCACGCCCCAAAGAGCCTGGAGGATGAGGCCACGCCCACAAAGGCCGTGCCCACAAACCTACCCACGGAAGGAGCGGGTGGGAGCCACGCCCTTAGGTGACCCTTGCTGGGGGTGATGCTCTTTTGGCTGCCATCCAGGAAGGGGCGGGCAGATGGACGCTGCAACTCCAGGACCCGAGAACCTCCATCTTCTATTCTCCCTTGTTCCAAGGCCACGTCTGTCCCTGCCTTTTCTTCCATCAGGCTCACCTATGCCTTGCCCATGAGTTGTGCGCTGGGGGTGGCAACTTTGGCACCTCTCTCGGGTGGCGGGCGCGGGGTCCCAGAATTCACCTCCAGCACTAGAGCTGCCCAGGCAGGACATGCCGCTGCGGCTAGACCGCAGACAGGACTTCTCAGCAGGTCAGAACTTGACACGGCTTCCCCCCTCCCCCCTGCCCCCGCAGCTCATCACCTGACACCTCCACAAGGAGACCCAGAGCCCCGCTCTTCTGGGGATGAGGGGGAGATACTTTCTGCAGAAGGGCCCCCAGCCCGAGAACTGGAGCCCAGCCTGGCTGCAGAGGAGGAGGAGGAAGAAGAGGAGGAAGAGGAGAAGGAGGAGAAAGGGCTCCAGGAGGCGGAGGTGGTCACCACGGACTTCCAGGAGCTGATGGTGTCCAGTGGGGAGGAAGAACCCATGACGGTGCCTGCGAAGCAGGAGATCCCAGGCACCCCCCACCCCACCCCGGGGGTCCCCACGTCGCCCTCCATGCTTTCCCAGGAGGCCGGGCGCGTGTGGCCAAGCAGTGTGGCCCCTAGTGCCCACAGCGTGCAGGCAGCAGGCCCAGACACAGAGGAGACCCCAGTCAGCCCCCCGCCCAGGAAAAGGGGCCGTTTCAAGGGGTTGAACGGTCGTCACTTTCAGCATCAGGAGCCCCAGCGGGGGCCAGAGGGGGCGCTGGACGCTCCTGCCCCAGAGGCCGCGGGGAACCATGTGGAGCCCCCACGGGCCACGGGAGCTGCGTCGGAGAGTGGCTGGAGCGAAGACCCCTGGGCCGTGCTGACCAACGAGGTGGAGGGTCCCAGACCTGGTGAGTTAGGCCCTGGAAGCTTCCGCGCATGCGCTCAGAGCCCAGCTGACTCCACCTCCCCGCTCCCGCCCAATGCCCGCCCTGCGGGGCCGCGGCTGATGCCTGGGCTTGATTTTTGCAGGCTCTGCTGGTGACAGGAGCCCCCCTGAGCCCTGGCTGTGGCCCCCCACTGGAGCCCCACTCGGCCCCCCGGACTCCAGCAGGGCCCCCGGACTGCATCAAGAGGCCACCCCAGGCCCTGGTCTGACGGCGGCCAGCCCCGCCCCTACCTGGGCCTTCACCCCCTCTGAATCATCCAGCCCTGCTCCCGGGGCGGTTACTTCCCCGGACCTCCCCATCGTGGCCATGCTCCGGGCTCCCAAATTGTGGCTCCTGCCACCCCCACCGGTCCCTGCCACCACTGAGACCCACGGGGTGGAGAGACCCAGTGAGGACACAGCCACTGTCCCAGAACCTGGGGCTGGCACCCAGGACCCTGGAGGTGCAGATGGTCATCCCCTGTCGCCGTCCTCACGCCCAGCCAGCCCCAGTGGGACCACGACCGTGTTGGCCCACAGCCTGGGGGTGGGAGGCTCCCCAGCACCCTTATGGGCAGACCCGGAACCTCCAGCTGAGGCCAGTCCAAGTCCCCCAAGGGCCGACTCTGCAGGCGAGGAGGGAACCAGACCCCCAGCTTCTCTGGCTGGGCAGGTGACGGATGTCATCACCAGCCTGGCTGCCACCGATCCTGGGGTCCCCTCATCTCCAGCCCCTCTGGATGAGCTCTCACTTCCCACCCAAGACCAGGTGGACCTGCACCCCAACTCCACCCCCTCTGGGGGGCCTGGGGCATCCTTGATGCCTAGGGCCACCTTGAATTTGGGGCCTTGGACCACAGTTGCAGGGCCACCTGCTGGTGACAGTGAGGTACCAGGGTCCTCGATGCTGGCCAGCAGCCCAGGCCCCACACTGCTTGCTTCTGAGGCTACAGACACAGCCATGGGCACGTCCCTCACGTCCCTGGACCCGAGGGATGCAGTTGGGGTCCCAGCAGCTGCTTCCTCAAATTCCCCACCCCTACTGGAGCTGGAGAGCCCTGAACCCCGCCCCCCGGGGACACAGGGTGTGCTGGGGACTGCAGGTCCTCTGCCCCAGGGCAGCCCCCTGGGGAAGCCAGCCCTCATTCCTCCGGAGACCACACCCACAGCCAGCTTGGAGGAACCCACCTCTGCTTTCTCAGGGGACTCCCCTGGCACCCTGCTACCTGCCTCCCTGAGCCCGGGCGCCACGGAGCTGGATGTGCTGGCAGGAAACCCTGATGTAGAGGGCTTCTGGGAGGAGGCAGCCAGCGGTGAGGAGCTGGTTCCACTGGGGACCCCCACGAGCGGCAGTGCGCCAGAGGGTGAGTTGCTTGTCTGAGGTGGAGCCCAGAGCAAGGCAGCTGGAGAGGTCTGGATGGTCCCCAGAACCTTTGGAGAGGGTGGAGGTGGCGCTGGCCCAAGCATGGATTTGGGGATGATCTCAGCTCCCCGAGTCTCTCTGTCAGCTCTGAGCTGGGCTGCTCAGTGCGACCTTCAGTGTTCAGGAAATAATAAGAATCTGGGGGCATCCTTCTTGGTCCTTCTTTGTCCATCAAGTTCTACCCTTTTGGGGCCAGAGCGATAGCACAGCAGGTAGGGCGTTTGCCTTGCACCGGCCCACCCAGGTTCATCTCCGGCATCCCATATGGTCCCCCAGCACCACCAGGAGGAATTCCTGAGTGTAGGGTTAGGAGTGACCCCTGAGCATCGCTGGGTGTGACCCAAAAAAGCAAAAAAAAAAGTTCTACCCTTTTTTTGGGGGGTGCACACCTGGCAGTGTTCAGGGATCACTCCTAGAGGTACTTGAGGGACCCTGGGCAGTGCCGGGAATCGAACCCGGGGTAGCCATGCACAAGGCAAGCGTCTGCCCCGCTGCAGACCGAGAGACTCACAGGGAGGGGCCAGGACAGAGACCCTAAGTGGGGCTGCCCAGGAGAAAGGGCTTTGTGATCAGCAAAGTGGGGGTGCGCTGGGGGGAGGGACACCGCTGAGAACAGAGGCTCTGGGGGGATGCAGGGTCCAGGAGGCAGCTCCTGGATGCGTTCTGGGTCTCTCCTTGCAGCCCTCACCCCTGCCGCTGCCCCCTCCCTCCTTCAGGCAGCAGAAATGCTAATTAGGCCAAAAATAGCCTGAGCTCTAGCGAGAGACTGAGTCACTCCAGTCCGTGGGCAGGCATCGCCACCTCGGGCCACCTGGCGGGGCTCACACCTCCCAGGCATGTGCTTACACGTGCAGGGGCTCATGGGCTGGGGTCCTGCTGTCCCCCTCGCCTGGAGGGAGCCCAGAACTTTAAGCAAAGGCCCTGAGCATCTGTCCCACCACATTGTCAGCTGCCCGCGACCTCTATGCCCCCAGAAGTGGGCTGGGGGGAATCAAGAGAGCATGCCTTTCTCTTCTACTTTATTTGGGGTCCCACGTGGGGTCATAGGAGTTACTCCTGACTTTGTGCTCAAGGGTCACTTCTGGCGGTGCTCAGAGGACCCCCATGCAATATTGAGCGACCAGCGCCTTCACCCTGTTCTGTGGCTCTGGACAGCTTTAGTTTCTTATGAGGCCCCCACCAAGGAGAAGCAGAAACAAATTCAGGGCCGGAGAGATGGCTCACTGGTTTGGGTGCTGCCCTTGCTCACTGTCCATCTCTGCTCTGATCCCCGGCACACTTAGGGCTTCCCGAGCACTGCCAGGGGTGATTCCTGAGAACAACCATGATTAGTCCCTGAGCCACCTGAGCCCAACACCACCAGCTTAAGAGAAACGTGGGTCACAGGGGCTGTGGCCATTCTGTGTGACTCTGAGGATGGCGATGTCTTTCTCTGTGCCAGGGTCCCCCCACAGCAGCAGGGGGTGCTGCTCTGGCCAGGAACAGGGGTCAGTTGAAGGAGGGGGTATAAGTTCTCATCTTTGGCTCCAGGGTGGACCCCACAAAGCATCCAGGCCACCAGGGGTAGGGACAGGCGAGCGGAAGTGGGGGAGGCTGGGGCTCTGAGACCTCTGACCAAACTGCGTGTCCTTCCGGCAGCGCCCCTGGACCCCTGTGAGAACAGCCCCTGTCTCCATGGAGGCACGTGCAGTGCCAACGGCACCGTGTACGGCTGCAGCTGTGCAGTGGGCTTCGCCGGCGAGAACTGTGAGATTGGTCAGTGTCTACATGTCCCCCCTTACCTGGACGGGGGTCCTGATCCAGGCGCAGGCTCCTCTGGCCCCGCCCCTTGCCCTCTCTGGCAGCTGACATGGGGTTTGCAACAGGCTGTGAAATGACAATGAGGGACCGGAGCGACAGGAGAGCAGGGAGGGCAACCTCGGTTCGATCCCTGGCACCCCATATGGTCCCCCGAGAACCCCCAGGAGTGATCCCTGAGCACCAAGGCAGAAGCAAAATCTGAACACCCTGGCTCCTGGCAAATTCTCAGGTCCCGTGTCCCCCACCCTCTGATAAGTCCATCCCTCTCCCTCCTCGCTCCGGATGCTGCAGCTCGGGGACCGACCACCTTGTGTTCTGGAGCAGGGGGTCTGTACCCTGGTTTCAGCTGCCCAGCGGGCACTGATGAATTGATATTAATGTAGGATGGGGGGCTGGAGCGATAGTGTATTGGATAGGGCGTTTGCCTAGCACACGGCCAACCTGGGTTCGATTCCCAGCATCCCATATGGTCCCCCAAGCACTGCCAGAAGTAACCTGAGCATCGCTGAGTGACACCCAAAAGGAAAAACAAAATTGTCGGATGGGCTGAGTCCCGGCTTCCAGCCCCACTGGAGGACTGCCCAGGTCCCTGCATGAGTTCTAGCATTGTACAGGGCTGCGGGACGCTGACTGGTCTGGGCAGGTTTGCGGGTTCCCTGGAGCCGGGGCTCTGACCTGTGCCCCGCTGACCCCGCAGACGTGGATGATTGCTTGTCCAGCCCCTGTGAGAACGGTGGCACGTGCATCGATGAGGTCAATGGCTTCGTCTGCCTCTGCCTCCCCAGCTATGGCGGCAGCTCATGTGAAAAAGGTGTGGTCCCTGGGGATGGGGAGGGGCTGGCCCCAACCCAATCAATGGGGCGGGCATAAAGGACCCGTTCCCCAGTCAGGACCTTGGCCTCCCCTTTCTCGGGAGGCCAGTCATTGCTGCAATGGCTCCCACTCCTCCCCTCAGACACTGAGGGCTGTGACCGTGGTTGGCACAAGTTCCAAGGACATTGCTACCGCTACTTCGCCCACCGGCGGGCGTGGGAGGATGCCGAGAGGGACTGTCGCCGCCGAGCTGGCCACCTGGCCAGCGTGCACTCGGAGGAAGAACACAACTTCATTAACAGTAGGAACCCGGGAGGGGAGAGGCGGGGTGGGACCCTACCTGATGGTGGTGGGAGCAGAAGGGAAATGAGGTCCCGCACCTCACAGCAGAAGCCCTGCTTCAGAGGTTGCAGGCTTAGGAATCGAGCAAAGGCACCCCGCTGTTGGCAGCCCCTGGGCGTGGCTTCGCCCACCTGAAGCCACACAGGGGCGTGGCGGCGCCAGAAGCCCCGCCCCAGGGTGTGGCTCCGCCTAATGATCTGCCTCCCAGGCTGTGGCCCACCCACAGCGCCCTGCTCATTATTTCACCTCGCCCTGCAGGCTTTGGGCGTGAGAACACGTGGATAGGCCTGAATGACCGGATAGTGGAGCGGGACTTCCAGTGGACGGACAACACGGCACTGGTGAGTGGGGCATCAGAGCCTCTTCCCTGCCGGCCACCTGCAGGCTAAAGTTTCCCCCTTCTTGGGTAGCTGGATTGCTCCAGATAAGGCAACTTTCTGGATTCTGTCCAAGGGGATTCTGCAAAGGAGCGCCCCCGGAATCCGAAGCCCACCAGCCTCGTCTCCCAGCCTGCAGATTTCAACAGCCTCTTCGGAGGCTGCAGGCCTAGGAAAGGAGCAGAGTCGCGCACCCCACCCATACACATGGACACCCAGATGCTCTGTGTTACCTCCCGGCATCTGACCCCAGAAACCCTCAGAAAACACCAATCACTTTCTCTACCACTGTCGCATTCCAGCTAGATCGCAGAGGCCTCATAAATTGAGGATAAGGGGCCAGAGCAACAGTCCAGCGGGGAGGCATCTTGCCTTGCAACCCCCGTGCCCCATGTGTTTCCCAGAACCCAGCCAGGAGTGAGCCCTGAGCGCAGACTGAGGTGTAAGCCCTGAGCGTTTGCTGACTGTGGACCCTAAAATATTGAGGATGAAATTCATAAGACACACAATGAGTCTTTTTTTTAAATTTTTTTACTTTTTTGGGTCAGTCAAATGCTCTGCCCTGGAGTGATAGCACAGCGGTAGGGCTTTTGCCTTACACGCAGCCAACACGGCCGACCCGAGTTCGATTCCTCCGCCCCTCTCGGAGAGCCCGGCAAGCTACCGAGAGTATCTCGCCCGCACGGCAGAGCCTGGCAAGCTCCCCGTGATGTATTCGATATGCTAAACACAGTAACAAGTCTCATGATGGAGACGTTACTGGGCCCGCTCGAGCAAATGATGAACTTTTTTGGGTTACACTCAGCAATGCACAGGGGTTACTCCTGGCTCATGCACCCAGGAATTACTCCTGGCGGTGCTTGGGGGACCATATGGGATGCCGGGGATTGAACCCTGGTCAGTCGCGTGCAAGGTAAACGCCCTATCCGCTGTACTATTGCTCCGGTCCTGTTGTTATTTTTATTATTATTTTTTTTTTGCTTTTTGGGTCACACCTGGCGATGCACAGGGGTTACTCCTGGCTCTGCAGTCAGGAGTTACTCCTGGCGGTGCTCAGGGGACCATATGGGATGCTGGGACTTGAACCCGGGTCATCCATGTGCAAGGCAAACGTCCTACCCGCTGTGCTATCACTCCAGCCCCGCTGTTGTTATTTTTAAAAAGATCTTTTCCACAGGAGTGCTTGCCTCGCACACGACCAGTGTCCGATTTGATCTCTGGCACCTTATGTGTCAGAGTAAGTCCTGAGCACCATCCTCCCAAAAAACTTTTCTTCCTGTGGGGGCCGTGTCAGAGGCCCTCTGGCAGTGGGAACGGAACCCGGGCCACCTGCCCACAGGCAGGCCATGCTCTGTGCCACTGAGTCACAATCCCAGCCCATGGGGAGTCATTTTCAAGCAGCACTGGGCACCATGGTATTGAGGAGCTGCCACCGCCTCCATTTGATCCCAGAACATTCCACCGCCCCCACAAGGAGGCCCTTTACCCAGGGACCTTTTTGTTTTTATTATTTTGCTTGAGATTGCGCTCAGGGGCCCATGGTGTGTGGGGGATCAAGCCCCGGGCATCTGCGTGCACCTGTGCTCTGGCCTTAGCACAATGGGGAGGGCATTGGCCATGTACACGGCCAACCTAGGTTCGATTCCCCAGCACCCCAAAGGTGCACCACCTGAGGGTCTGAGCACCGCCAGGAGTGATTCCTGAGTACAGAGCCAGGGGTGAGCCCTGAGCATCTCTGGGTGGGACAAATAATAAATATAAAATGGAGGCTGGAGAGGGGATGGTGGGTAGGTGCTGGCCCCACACGTGGCCAACCAGGCTACACCCTCAGCACTGAGGCGGGCTCTATGTGCCTTCCTACAGCAATACGAGAACTGGAGGGAGAAGCAGCCTGACAACTTCTTTGCGGGCGGGGAGGACTGTGTAGTGATGGTGGCGCACGAGAGCGGGCGCTGGAACGACGTGCCCTGCAACTACAAGCTGCCCTACGTGTGTGAGAAAGGCACAGGTATGCCCCGAACGACACGCAGGGACGGACACACGAACACGGGGCAGACACACAGGGACTGACATGGGATGGACACACAGGGACGGACACACATGGGGGCAGACACACAGGGACTGACACACTGGGTGGACAGAGGGATGGACACATGGGATGAACACACCGGGATGGACACATGGGATGGACACACGGGTTGGACACACGGGGCAGGTACACAGGATGGATACACAGGAACACACGGGGACAGACACACACAGGGTCCATCCCTCCCTCCCCATCTCCTACATGTGCACCAAGGCACAGCTATCCCCATGTGTATGAGGACACAGGTGCGCCCACCTGCACTCACTGACCATCAGGCTGTGTCCCCTACCCTCCAGCACAGATGCAGGGGTGCTCTAGGAGCCCGAGGGTCTGGGTGGAGGAGACAAGGCTGTGGAGCCCTGAGGGGTCACAGGGTAAGGACCGTGGGGAGGGCCACGTGCCCCCATCAGGACAGTCCCCCTGTCTCTGTGGGCAGTGCTGTGCGGGGCCCCTCCGGCCGTGGAGAATGCCTCCCCCGTGGGCGCCCGCAAGGCCAAGTACAACGTGCACGCCACGGTCCGCTACCAGTGCCATCCGGGCTTCGCCCAGCACCACGTGGCCGTGATCCGGTGTCGCAGCAACGGCCACTGGGAGCGGCCTCAGATCGTCTGCACGAGGCGTAAGTCGCACTGGAGGCAGGGAGGGCACCGCTCCCCACCGCCCTCTACCCCTGCGCCTTGACCTCTCGTCCCCCCAACGTCCCGCCCCTGCAGCCAGACGGTCCCATCGCATGCGGCGGCACCACGGCCACCACCCGCACCGCCACCCGCACCGTCACCGCCAGCCCGGTCAGGAGCGCAGGAAACGCCACGGGCGGCCCGAGGACTGGGAGCCCGAGGGAGGGAACTTCTGCTGACGCGCCCGCCCGGCCGAGCAAGCACAAGCCCCCGCACGCGGGCTCTGGAACCTTCTTTCCCAAGGCACACAGAACCCAGAGAGCAACCAGAGGGCCCGAGTCCCGATCCCTGCCCCCGACCCCACTTTCTATCCTTTGTACAAACCCCCCACCCCATCCCGCCCCGTCCCCCTCGTTCGCAGGTGCTCACGCGGAGGCCGTGCTACCCGAAGTCGGCGCGAGGGGGAGCCCTGGAGTGCGGGCCCGCCGAGAGCCGCTTCTGCCACCCTCCGTGGGCTCGCAGGGCGGGGGCAGAGCTGGCTGGGAGGACGGCCCCCTGCCCTCGGCAGTGGGGGACTTCGGGGAGTCCCTCCAGTGACCAGGGCTGCCTCAGGGCTGCACCACGTGCTCACTCCGGTGGCTGACCGCCTTGTCGCAGGACCCACCTCCAGGTGCCCTTGGTTAGGGCCGTTGTGCGCTGTGGACTCAGTGTCCCCTAACCTCCCCCGCAACGCCCCCGCAAAAGGGCCGGTCCAGGGCTGGGGTTTGGTGGCTCGTTGGTGGGGGCGCCAGGAGGCGGTTTCGGTCTGGGCCAGCCCACAGTTCTTCCCCCTCCATCACTCAGGGAGACAACGAACCTCCATCCCGCACCCCCAGGGTGCCCCGTTTTCTAGCTCAGCGCCCATCTCCCACCCCGCCAGCAGTGCCCCTGTCCGTGTCCCCACCCCACCCCACCCCACCCCACCCCAGACTGGAGGAAAGGCACACACACTTCCTTAGCCGTCACCTTGCCTCCCGGCCCACTGCGCAGCCTGGACCGGCGCCCCCAGGAGGAGAAGGAAGAGAACTGCAGGCCGGAAAGTCCATCCTCTCCAGCAGGGTCTGGGCGGGGCAGGGCTCGGTCCATCCGCACGGTGCCCCAGCCCCGCGGCCAGCAGCCAGCCTGGAGCACCTGGGGATGTACTCCCAACCCCTCGCAGTGGAGGAAGGGGCAGAAAGGGGGTCGAAGGAGCATACCCCGCCTGCCAAGTCACATCCTGGGGGCGGCCAGCTTGGAGCAGAAGGCTGGAGTGGGGCCTGTCAACGCCCGCCCCTGGCGGCGACAAGGTCCGTCCTTAAGTCATTGAACGAAGTCTCCTGTCTGACTCCGAGCACTGCTCCAGGGGGTGAGGTGGGCGACCCCCAAGTGTGCCCTCCCCACCCAGGTGGACCCCTGACATGATCCTCCGTCCTTCCCCGCGGTGACCACCCCCTTTTTTCCTCGCATCTTGCCCACGAAGCCCAGGGATTTGCTTTGCGCATACCTTTTTTTTGGGGGGGTGGGGTAATGAAACTGTAACAATAATAATGCATCTTTCTTCATCCACCTCACACACAGACTTTTCTTCGATGGGGGGTCCTGATTCCTGCCCCTCTGGCCCCAGGCCAGTTCCACATGGGAGGGCGACCCCAGATTTTTTAAGTGGGTGGTTTGTCTTTTGTTCTCTCCTTGGGGTGTGAGTGCGTGTGCCTGCATGGCGTGTGGGAGCGTGTGCTCGGCGCACGCAAGCCTCCCTCCGCGCTCGTTTGCCACGAGCCACAGTGCTCCGTGAGTCTGTGGCAGCTGTCACTGTGGACATGAATGTACTTCTTGGACGTTTTAATAAAATTTTTTAACAGTTGGACCTAACTGTCCCCTCCTGACCCTTTTCTTTATTCACTCAGCACGTGCCCATGGAACAGATATTCTGAGCTGGGTGCTTGTGTTGGGTGCTTGAGGAGACAGCAGTGAACAGGAGAGATGGCACCTTGGGAGCAGTCACCAGGGTTGGCTTCTTGGAGGAGGCAGATGGCATCTAAGGTGAAGGGGAGCATTTCAGGCTTCAGGAAGAGAGAAGGGGTGTTTGCAGGAGGGATCTGGGTTCATTTGCTCAGCGGCCACCCACAGTCTGTGCAATGGAGAGAACTGAGGCTGGCGAGATGGTGGGCTGAGAAGCTATTGAGCCCAGTGGCTGCGTGAGGCCAGTGACAGGATGAGCTTCTGACTCATCCTGTGTGAGGCGCTTTCTGGGGGCTGCAGATATTGTTTAGGGGTCAAGGACTCATGGACCCCATTTCATCCCTGCCATCCCTGAGTACAGAGCTAGGAGTGACCCCAAAACAGAGAGTCAGAAGGGAGCCCTGAGCACGAGCCAGGAATGACCCAGGAGCACCACACGTTGTGGTCCCCAAAACTGAAAAATACAAAGAGTCCCTCCATATCAATCGGAGGAAACCAATCACCCAAAGCCAAAGGGGTACATGATGGAACAAGCTGACAGAAGAGATGTTGGCAGCTGAGCAGAGACACAGAGAGATAGGAAAGAGGGCATAAACCACGAAGAGGCGCGGGGCAGAGTGAGACGACAGCGGGTAGGACACCAGCCTTGCACGTTGCTGGCCCCATTGGCCCAGGTGTGATCCTCACCTCCATATATGGTCACCTGAGCCCCACCAGGAGTGATACCCAAGCAGAGACCCAGGAGTAAGTCCTGAGCACCTCCAGGTGTGTCCCCCCAAAAATGGTAACTGGAGTGATAGAACAGCGGGGAGGAAACTTGTCTTGCACGTGAGTGACCAAGGTTCTATCCTCAGCATTCCATGGGGTCCCCTGAACCTGGCAGGATGAACCCTAGTGCAGAGCCATTGGTCGGACCAAAGCATCACTGGGCGTGGCCCCTCCTGGGTAGGTGGGGAACAGATTTTATAAAAGGGTGGCCTTGGGGTCAGAGCAATAGTACAGCATGCAGCTGACCAGGGTTCAATCCCCAGCACCCCATATGGTGCCCCAAGCACCATCAGAAGCAATTCCTGAGTGCAGAGCCAGGAGTAACCCCTGAGCATCGCTGGGTGAGACCCAAAAAGAAAAAAATATAAAGGGTGGCCTTGGGGAGCTCAGAGGATGGCAGTGGATATGGACTGAGGACTGGCTGTTCGGACAACCACCACAGGGAAGTCCAGAGAGGACAGTGGTCAGCTGCACATAGATAGTAAGGCAAGGGTCTGTGTCCCAGGAGGAAGCACTTCCTCACCTCTCGCGCTGCTCATAGAGAACGCTGTGTGCTGCAGTAGCTCCCAGAGGAAGGACCTTCGAGCGAAGGACCAATTGGTACTGGCAACCAAACCTGGGCTCCTGCATGGCCAGTATTCGACTCAGGCTGCTGGGCTACTGCTCAGGCCCCTGGAGGGGGTGTGTGAACTGAACCTCGTGCATGAGCATACCCATGTTGGGAGGGGTTGCTCCTTTCTCTATGAGGAAATGATAGGTATTAAGTGATGAGTTTGGACTCCTTGATCAAACCAGTCCTGAACTTCATCTCCAATCACACTAGTTCATATGTGCAAGAACATGATATATATATAAAGGGTAGCAAAAGATGGGGAGTCATCCAAATGGGTTCTCTAGGGTGGTACTTATTAAAAAGGATGGGCCAGCCAAACAACTATTCTGTCTACCTTCTAAGAAAGGGTGAGGGACGGGAGCGATAGTACAGTGAGGAGGGCATTTGCCTTATACACAACTGACCCAGGTTAGAGCCCCGGCATCCCATATGGTTCCCCAAGCATTGCCAGGAGTAATTCCTGAGTGCAGAGCCAGGCGTAACCCCAGAGCATCGCTGGGTGTGACCCCAAAATCGAAAAAAAAAGAAAGAAAGGGTGATCTTTATGATGGAAATAATCTCAACTATATTTTTTGTGTTTTTTGTTGTTTTTGTCTTTGGCCACACCCAGTGGCACTCAGGAATTACTCCTGGTGGGGCTCGGGGCACGCTAAGAGATACTGAGGATTGAACCTGGGTCAGGCATGTGCAAGCAAGTGCCCTCCCCATTGTACTATCGCTCCAGCCCTCACATATGTTAAGGAAAATAGTTACTTTAAAATAAATGATGGTGCAGGAATGTGAGTAGCAGCTCTGTTCTCAAATGCCTCTAAGGGGAGGGACAACCCAGATAAGCACCCGCAGATGGACAGGTAAACAATGGGGCCCACTCTTGGAATGGAATATTCTTCAGCTGCAGAACAGAACGAATCCGTGACATGGAGATGAACCTCGGGAGCTTTATGCAGAGCGAGACACGCCAGACACAAAGGACACATTTTATAAGATTCCATTTATAGCAACTATCAAGACAGGGGATCCACAGCAGAGAAAGTGGATCAGAAGTTGCTGGGGCGGGAGGCAGGCGGGGGAGGAGATGCCGACGGGGAGGAGGTCTGGGGGAGAGAAACCTTGGAACGGGTCAGAGGCACCGGTTAGGCTACCCAGCGCTGTGAACATACAAAATGCCACTCAGCCTTCAGCCACTGCAAAGCGACTAGAGCAGGGGCAGGAAGACAGTGGGGAGGGTGCCGGCCTTACTTGAAGCCCAGCCTGGTTTAATCCCCAGCACCCCATATGGTCTCCCAAACCCTGCCAGGAGTGGTCCCTGAGCTCAGAGGCAGGAGTATACCCTGAGCATTGCTGGGTGTGGCCCCGCCAAGCCTAAATGATTCCTAAGGAGGCGGAGAGCCAGCCCACAGGGAAGGCTGGCGCTGCACGGCTACGAGCCCCCAGCCCCTCCTCGGAAAGCGCAGTGGTTGGCAATCCCCAGACCCTGGCGTATTGTGTTCTGGGTGAAATTTTCCGTGTGGCCGTGCCAACAAAGACCTCAGCCTGCAGACTGAAGGCAGGCCTTCTTGCTGAGTTCCACACACAGCCTTGGGGATTTGCCCCCACTAGAAGGAAGCATGTGTTCCCTGCTGCCATGTGTGCCAACTGGGCCAAGAGCTCCATGCGTCTGCTTGAAGGAACTCAGAAAGTCTCCAGGAGCACGTGTGAGGAAACTTGGTGCTTCCGGGAACTGAACTATGTGAGGCCCTGGGTTCAAATGCGCTGTCCTCTCTCCTCCTGACCCCTCCTCCAAAAAGAGGGGGGCCAACAGGGGAGGTTGAAAGTTGCCTTAATGAGTTGAAACATACTTTGCTCACTGGAGGCCTGGATTCCAGCCCGGCACCACGTGATTCCCTGAGCACCCACCTGGCCCAAACAAACTAAAGCAAACAGCGATCCAAAAAAATCTGTTTAAAAAGAAATAAATACAGGCTTCGGGAAGGGTTACTAGCCCTCAGCTCAAGAACCGGGTCCTCTGACTGCCCCATAAGCCCAAGTGACAGCCTGGCAGAGGGATGGCCCCCTCCATTCATAGGCCCATCCAACCCTGGGTCCCATTGGTCAGTCTGGATCTCACCCTGAACCAATCAGGGCTGTTCAGGAAGAGGCGCTGCAGCTCTCATTGGCTCAGCTAGAAGGATCAACTTCAGTGCCGGTTCCCAGGATGCTGTGCCCAGGGATAGGAGGAAGGATGCAGCCACCACAGGGCAAGGGGCAGACCGTGACGACCGCCGCCCCCCCCCCCCCCGCCCCACCTACCCACACTCATCTCTACACAAGGGGCCAAAAAAGCAAGATTCAGCTGAACCCTACCATTTAACCGAAGGCCAGACAGCCACAGCAGGAAGTGCCTTCTGGACAGGTCACATTCAATGGGTTCAGCCCAGCACCCACCTCACTCATCAAGGCAGCCTGTGCACGTTGCCCCCACGGTTGCTTCAGAAATGGGAACATCCCAGTCACCCCAAGAAGCTCATGCAACATCCCAACCCCCCAGAGGATGGCCATGGGCCGAGAAGGGCGAGACAGGTGGCACAGTTCATGCCGGAGAATGGGGGCAGATGGGGGACAGGAGGGGAAGGAGAGTGCCGAGTGGGGTGTGGCCCCCCATCACCATGCTCCCCCAGCTGGAGGACATTCTGTTCACTGAAGCACATTTGTGCCAGCCACCCGCTGTCTCACTGTCTCATTCAAGAAACAAACTGACGTGGGAGTTTCTCTGAGGTCCAGCCATAAGCTCTGTCCTTCCTGAGTCTCAGGACTGGTCCAATGCAAAGATGGTCCAGACTTGGCTATGGACACTTGACCACAGAAGCAGCATCCAAAGTGGAGCCCTGTGGGCCCCAAACTCAGAGGTGCGTCCCCAAGAGCTGGAGTGACAAGGGGGCTCCGGGTGAGCTCAGCACACACACACACACACACACACACACACACACACACACACAAGCGCACGTGTCCATGCAGGAATCACCCCTTTGAACCTGGGCTGGGTAGACTTGAGGTTTGAAGACATTCCAATGTCCCCTGAATCTCTAAGGAGGTAAATGGGGAGAGGATCTTGGAAGAAGAGGGGTGGTCTGCGAGGAGGGGACCCAGGAAGTGGGTGTTCTGTGCAGAGAAACCTGGAACCCGGCTTTGTGCATCTGTGGTCAGGCAGAGCCAACACGTGGTTTGGGGCAGATTATGCTGAGCTTCTGTCCAGGGCAGCAGGCGGGTCCAGTGGTGTCTGAGGATGCTGCCACCGGCTGTGCCCATTTGAAAGGGCGACGTCAAGCATTGGGGTTCATAAGGAGTTCCTGAGAGCGGGGAGGTCCGTTGCCATGGGGATGGCGTGGGCAGTCTCTATGGAGACTGTCTCTATAGAGACAGCTTGGAGGGGCGGGGTTTGGAGGGGGTAAGCAGAGGGGCACAGGTGTTCTGGTACCTCAGACATCAGTCTCTTCTCCATGGTAACGATCTTAGAGATCCCAGCTGCACGTTGAGGGATGCAGTGAGGGGAGGGGGGGCGCAGCCTGCTTCCATGGTGAGAGCGAGAGATAAGAAGGTGGGGGACAGGAACATCTGGGGCGATGGTCGGGAACAGACAGCAGAGGCAGAGTTGGAGGCGTCTGCGAAGGCGTGGGGACCACAGGCACAGCTGAGGCGGGCACCATCTCCGTGGCGGGCAGATGAGGTGACTGGGAGGCCGGGCGGGTCGCCGTGGGGACGGCGCAAGTGAGGCACGTGGCTCCTAGGGGCCCCTGGGAGCGGGATCTTTGGTGACAAGCAGGGGAGGGGCTTCTGGGGGCGTGGCCAGGCTCCTCCAGAAGGATACCTGAGGGGTGGGGCCCGGCCCGCAAAGCTTCAGCCCACTGGACCCTCACCCTGGGTGGCCCCCGGGAACTCTGGGGGACTCACGGAGGCGGGGGGGGGGGGAAGATAACGGGACGCCCCCATCTGCGGCCCCACAGGAGCCCTCATTCTGCCTGTCACCGGCGAGGTGTGGCCAGAGGCAGATCTTGGTGGGGAGGTGACTTCGGAGTCCCCCAAAGAACAGTAAAGTACCAGTCCTCCCAGTCCAAGGAGAAGCGGAGGGTGTGTGGCAGTCTTCATAAAATCCGGGGGTGCCAGCCTCCTTTCCAGGGGTCCTCCGGTCTGCGCCGGCGCCTAGAGAAGGTTGAGGGGAAGGGGTCGCCATCGTCCAGGAAATGGGGGGCTTGGTCGGTGTCCAGGTGACGCCAAGGGATTTCGGGGGCGCCGTCAGTGTTCCAGGACGGCAGGCGGCCGGGTCATCTCGCAGCGCCCCAGCCGCGAGAGCCGCGGACGCCTAGACGTGCAGCGGGGTCCAGGCGGCGGGGTCCCGCGCGCCGCCCGCCCAGCCGCCGCCGCCCGCCCAGCCCCAGCCCCAGCCGCCGGGCGCGGGGTCGGGTGCGCCGGGCGCGCGGTAGCAATAGACGCCGAAAAGGCGGCGCGCGGCGTCGGGGAAGCCGAGGCTGCGGACGCCGGGCCGGGGCCCGCCGCAGCGTGCGCGCGGGTTCACGATGGGGTAGCGCGCGCTGCCGTCGGCCAACCAGCCGGCCGTGCAGCGGTCCAGCAGCTGCAGTTTCCACGCGGCGAACAGCTGCCCCACCTTGGCCACCGCCGCGCCGCGCGCCGCACACGCGCGCTCGGCTCCAGCGAAGGGCACGGGTCGCAGGGGCTTCAGGAAGAACACGTGGCCTGCGGGGGAGTGAGGGCACTTAGGGCCGCTCCGGGTACCGACCTCCCTGGGCTCCCGGGGCCCCAAGGCATGTGGGCGGTTCCAGGTCCCAGGGCCGGGGACCGGGAGGCACCGCGTGCTCCGGGAGGGCCGGGGACGGAGGCTGGGAGCGGGGACCTGGGAGGGGCGCGGCGCACGCACCGGCCAGGTTGGACGTGAAGCAGAAGGCGTCGTAGCGTTCGCGGGCGTCGTGCCGGTAGCCGTAGTTGCGCACGCCTCCGACGGCGCCCCCCGGGCCGGCCCGACCGCCGCAGGGCTCCCGGGGTTGGCTCACCGGGTACTGCACCGAGCCATCACGCAGCCAGCCCGCGTTGCACCAGTCTAGCCCGTCGCGCCAGGCCGCGTGCAGCTGCTCGGCCGATGCCAGGATGCCGTCCTGCTCCGCACACGCGCGCTGCGCCTCGCGGAAAGTCAGCTGGTAGCGCCCCCCGCGCGGGTGGTAAGGGAAAACCACGCCTGGGGGACACACAGGGGTCAGCTGGGAAAGGGCTGCCCCTGACTGACCTAGATCTTCCAATGCCTGCCAGGTTCTGGCCTCATATCTGATCTGGTCCACACACCCCTCAGAACTCGCTTCTCAAACTTGGAATTCTGTTGACCTGGTCCCTTTATTTATTTATTTATTTATTTATTGCTTTTTGGGTCACACCCGGCGTTGCACAGGGATTACTCCTGGCTCTGCACTCAGAAATCACTCCTGGCGGTGCTCAGGGGACCATATGGGATGCTGGGAATCGAACCTGTGTCGGCCGCGTGCAAGGCAAACGCCCTATCCGCTGTACTATCTCTCCAGTCCCAGGTCCCTTTATTAATTTTGGTCTTGGAGCTACACCTGGCGGTGCTCAGGGCTGACTCCTGGTTCCATGCTCACAGGTCACTCCTGGTGGTCTGGGAGGATCCGCCAGAGATTGAACCCCGTGCAGTGTGTCAAGGCACATCCCCATCCACTGTACTATCTCTCTATAGGGCTGGTCTTCTTCTACCTCTCAGCCCCACAGTCCATCAATCACAGCATCCTAACTGCCAGCCACACCAACTGGCTCCTGGTTGAGTTAATGAGAGACCACTCTAGGATTGCGGCTGGCAGGCTGTTGAGGTCGGAAGTTGGAGGCCTGGTGCTAGGTTTTTGGTTTCATCAAATTCGAGACATGCCTGAGAAAACCCAGCCTGGGAAGCAGAGTTGGCCAGAGAATTCAGCTGCAGTGTGAGAGCCCAGATCACACTGTGCCTGAATCCCACCTGGACTTTCCGAGAATGGTATGCAGTTTGAACTGGCTCATTCTTGTTTGGTGCCAATTTTGCAGCATCTTTCCCTAGATACCACTGGCACCCTGAAATACCTCTCAACACCACCAGTGTTCCTAAACCTCATAACCACTCGAAAACTCTGACCTTATCCCCTGCAGCCTCTGATCCTTCGGAGCCCCTTGATGGATTACAGTAGCCCTCATCCCGCCCGGTCACCTTCCAGGTCCAGCTTGACCATGCCCGTGTCGTCTTCCAGCTCGTTGGTGACCTCGCACTCATAGCGGCCGTAGTCCTGCAGCGTGACGTTTCGCAGCACCAGGGAGGCGTCGCCGGGCCCGTCGCCCTGCAGCTCGGCCCGCCCGCGGTAGCTGCCGAACGCCCGCTGCTGGGGGCCCAGCGCCACGAACACGTCAGTGAAGGCGAGCGGGTCCACCACTTTGGTCCACTTGAGACGGACGCCGTCGTCGTCATGGGAGGTCGCCTCATAATGGTAACGGCAGGGCAAGACAATGGTGCCACCGCGGTGACTGACCACCTGCCCGGGTGCCGTCTGTACCACCACCGACCCCGACTCACCCTCTGTGGGCAACCAAGCAGGGTTCAGAAGGGGAATGGAGGAGGGGGGAGGGGAGGGGCGGGGCCTCCGGTGAGCGGGTCGCCAGGGGGCGGAGCCTCATGGGGAGGGGGGGGGTCTCCAGTGGGCGGAGTCTCCTGCGGAGGGACACCCTTAGAGGGCAGTCTCCGGTGAGGGGCGTAGCTTGTGGTGGGCGTGTTCTGGGTGGGCGTGGTCTGGAGTTGGCTCCGCGGGGCCCCGCCCCCTTCCGGCCCCACCGCAGCTCCCGAAGCGCCTGCCTGGCTTGGCTGCCCGCACTCACCCAGGACATGCACCACCTTCTTCCTGCCGCGCTGCGCTCCCGTGGGGACCGTGAGCAGCAGGACACTGCAGGCTGCCGCGGCCCAGAGCGCGCGGGGACCGAGGGCCGCCCGAGCGCACACCTGGAGGAGGCACCTTGTGTCAGTTCCCCCCACCCTCCCGAGGGCTGCAGGGGAGCTCGGCCCGCTCGCCCCGCGACGTGCGCGTCTTTGAATCCGGGCCGCCCCGGTCCCGGCCGAGGAGAAGGCGCGCAACATCTCAGCCCCCTCATTCTTTTACTGCAGCTCCTAGGAGCAGCCCGCGCTCCCGGACTCATCCTCCCGGGGTCCCACGCGCAGATCCCGCCGGGTCTCCCTGACCCCAAAGCCCGAGGCGCGGAGCCCCGCCCCCGTCCCTGGCCCGGGTCCGGGACGGGGGAGGAGCGGCGGCCGCAGCAGCAAGGTTATCCGTGCGCCGCCAAGAGACTGCAGCAAACCAGCCGGGGGGAAGGGGGTGCAGCTGGGGCCCCGGCAGACCTCGGCGGGACACTGAGCCCAGCCCGGACAGACGGGGACAAAGAGGAGAGACGAGAGGAAGCAAGGACAAATGGCGAGGGAGGGACAGACAGGAGGGACGCGGCGCAGCCGAAGAAAGGAGGGAGCAGGGCATGGGGGAGAGAGAAACTCGAGAGCGAGCAGAGGAACCAGCGGGGAAGAAGAGGGAGAAAAGTGAAGCCAGGGGCAGGTGCGCGCGGGCGCCGGAAAGGGTGGCCCAGACGGAGAGGGACCCCGAGCCGACACTCGGAGGGGTGTGCTTGGGACAGAGGGACACAACCGCAGACCCCACTTACCATGCTGCCCATGCGGCCCCGCCGAGCGGCCCGCGCGCCGAGACTGCGCACCCCAAGCTGACTGGGCAGGAGGCGCAATCCCGCAATCCCGGAGTCTGCCTGCAAGGGAAGGGGGGGGGTACTGGGGGGGCATTAAAGGGGACGCGCCACCGCGAGTAACTTCGGGGTCCCTGCCCATACCCAAGGCCTGGGTGTGCAGCGGGACTTCTCTGTTCTGTTTGACCAGCTTTAAAGTGGAGAGTGACCTGAAGGGGGGTTCCCTTTCTTTCCTGTCAAGTGGATACTCATGGAGGGGTCCTGGGTTCACACTTGGAGAATAAGGTCCCACAATCATCAAATGCCCAGGAGACCAGGGGCATCGCGAGTCTTCCCCAACACCTGGCGATGCTCAGGGGTCACTCCTGGCAGTGCTCAGGAGGCCCTGTGGGATGCCAGGGATTGAACCCGTGTCAGGCTACATGCATGGCCTTAACCACTTACTGTCTCCGGGCCCTTGGGGGAACATCTCATAACTGGCCACACTGTAGGTTGCACAGGGTCCAGGGAGCGCGGCTGTTAGGTAAGTCAACCCAGAACCTGACCCTTCACAGGAATCCCAAACTGGCACCCGTGAGAGACAGCACACAGATTCACCAGGCCACTTGCTCTGTGTGGGGCCAACCCCAGTTGGGTCCCCAGCACTGCATGATCCCCAACCACCTCTGGGATTTCCCTGAGCACCAAGCTGGGAGCAGCCCTCAAGCACCTTGGGATATGGCTCAAGCCCACACCCTTAACTCCTTTAACCGCCACCCCAGCCTCAATGCCCCCAACAGGAGGCACCAGATGGAGAAGCAGAGGCGGAGGGCCCTGCTGTCAGTTCAGAGACATGGTCCAGGCCTGTCATCGTTTCATCTGGGACATGGGGTATGAGCCAGCATGGCACGGAATGGGGTGGCAGTGGGTACAGGGCACGCGGTGACTTGTCTGTACTGCAGCCCTCAGAGACTCAGTATCACTGTCTGCAGCAGTCCTACCTGGCGAGTCCCCCAGACCCCCATCCTCACAGTCAGGCACAGAAGTCGAGGTTTGGAAAGCATCTTTACTGAAAGGACTCATGGGAAGGGGTTGTGGGGGGAGGGGATGTGACCATGGGGTCACCAAGACAGCCACACTCCCTGATCTGAAGCCACTGCAGTCAGGGCCGAGGGACCTGGGGGAGTGACCACCTCTGCCCTCCTGCTCCCACCCTCCCCGGGCTCTGAGTCCTGGGGGAGCCCCTCAGTGATGCTTCTTGTGGGGGGCTGGAGGGCCAGGCAGTGGGTTCAGGAAGAAGGCGGGCCAACGCAGGCAGCGGAAGACCAGCAGGTGGGGGCCCAGTGTGTACAGCACGTTGCACAGGATGAAGCTCAGCCATGTGTCTTCGGGCACCCGGTAGGTGAAGGGGGTGCGCAGATGCATGGAGGCGGCCATGTGTGAGAACTGGGCCTGGGACCACATGGCAGCGGGTTCAGGTCATGGAGTACAGGATGCACTCCCAGGGAGGGTCCTGAGTGGGGGTCTTATTTATTTTTTATTTTTTGGACTTTTTGGGTGACACCTGACGATGCACAGGGGTTACTCCTGGTTTTGCATTCAGGAATCACTCCTGGCGGTGCTCAGGAGACCATATGGGATGCTGGGAATCGAGCCCGGGTCGGCCGCATGCAAGGCAAACGCCCTACCCTCTGTGCTATAGCTCCAGCCCCCTGAGTGGTCATCTTGTCCCCACGGCGGGCTCTGCTGACCATGTCATCCCTGCCCCTCTATCCTCCACTGCTTCTCCCGAACCATCTTGCCTTGTCTGCACCCCCTCTCTGACCCGTGGGGGATGTCCAGCTCAGGCTCGGTTTTACTATACCCCATCAGGGACCCAGAAATGGCTTCTAATGGCCCCACAGGGTCCTGCCTTTGACTCCTTCCTCCTGGTCACTGGGCCCATTCGAGAGAGCACTGTTTCCTCTTGGAACACCCTTCCAGGCTCCGAAATCTGGTGCCTTTTGTTGGAACCTCACCCCTCAGTGCAGCCTTCTAAGATTCCTCTTGGCTTCTGTACCTCCCTCTTTCTCCAGTTCCTTTGGGGGGTGGGGGACACATCCAGGGTTCTTGGGAGCTACACCCAGCTCCGTGCTCAGGAGATCGTGGTGTGCCAGGAACCCAAACCCATGTCCTTTCTGCCAAGCCCTAGCTCAGCCCACTGAGCTCTCTCCTGTCCCCTTTTCCCAGCTCTGACCCCAGGGGACTGACTGGCTTGGGGCCACACCTGGCGGTGCTCAGGGCTTTCTCCTGGCTCCGTGCACAGGGGACCATATGGGGTATGGGAGATGGAACCTGGGTCAGCCACATGCAACGCAAGTGCCCTACCCCCTCTACTCTGGCTTCAGTTCCTGCATATAACTCTTTCTTTCTCCTCCAGACTGGGGACTCAGTTGTGGGGGCTTTGACCCCACCCCAGAGTGAGCACAGAAGCAAGTGGGGGTGGGGACTGTTTTCGCCATGACCCTGCCCCCACCTCACCTGGCTGATGGCTCCAGAAAACACCAGGGCCCAGTCAGGCAGCCAAGAGCAGCCAGGAAAGATGAGTGCGTAGATGGCCAGGCCGTAGAAAGGCAGTGCGTAGAACAGGAGCACCAGCATCTGGGGACCCAGAACATGAGCAGGGTAGGGGGGGGGGCACCAGACTCCCTGAGCCTACCCCGCAACCCACAAGAGGCCGGGAGATTGTCCAGCAATCACCGGGTCCAGTTGCAGGAGGGCACAGGCCATGCACGGACCGCAACCCACTGACCGAGACATGTTCATGCTCTGGAGAACAGGGCTTATGGTCCCCTGGACGGACCAAGGGGGACATGGAGCCAATGCCACATCAGCAGGGCCTAGAGGGGCGGGGAGGTGGCTGAAAGGGCAGGAGCAGGGACCTTGATGCATGAGGCCTCGACTTCTGTCTCAGGCACCTCACGCCCTCCTGCCCACCCCTAGCATTGCTAGACCCCAGCACTGCAGAGTCTGCGTAGTATCCACTGCTAGCCATGGTTATTTGGTTGACTGAGTATTGCTGGAATGACTTATAAGGCTTCTGAGCACTGCTTGGGGGATTCAAAAGAGAGTGAGAGAACAGAGGCCAGACATTAAGATAACCTTGGGCTCCTGGATTCAGTCATACCCAAAGGCCACCTGCATGCTCTTTGGGTGGGCCATTATTATTCCATCTGTGTGCTGCCAGGTTGAAGGGTGGTCCTGGCACCTGCTTCAAAGGAACCCAGCGGACCATCTCACCTCCCACCTACCCTCTTACCTGCACCTTGGGATAGGCCACAGGGTCCCGCAGATACGGCTCATACTGATAGAGGTAGATGAAGCAGGTGTCCGTGGGGCAGTCGAGCACCACCTAGGGGAACACACCATCTCAGAAGCCTCCACTGTGTGTCCCTGGCCTGGCCGCTGGCTCAGAGCTTTGGGGCCAGAAGCCATGAGCTACCCTGTAGCCAGCCTTTCTGCATGGGTTGGAGAGAAGGATGGGAAGGGGAGCAGCACGTGGGGTGAGGGGTCACCAGCAGGGGGGACTCACCAGGCCCCGGAAGAGTGTGAAGAGACCCGCAATGCCCAGGTAAGCGATGAGGGCCAGGTCAAGCGGACGCCACAGCAGGCTTCTGCGCTCCCGCTCCATCTGCCGGGCAGGGCAGCTTTAGCATCCCAAGACATCCCCCACCCTCCACCCAGGCTGTGATGGCCAGGACTCACATCCTTGGTCATGGTCTTTCCTAGGGAAATATATATAATATATATTATATATGTCATATAAAAAGACAACAAAACCCAGCTCCCGGAAGCACATGGCCACATCCGCGGCCGCGCGACACCTTATAATCTAGTTCTTACTCTGAAGAACCTGGCAGGCTACCAAAAGTATCCTGCCCACACGGCAGAGTCTGGCAAACTCCCGTGGCATATTCAATATGCCAAAAACCAGTAACAATGATGGGTTTCATTCTCCTGACCCTGAAAGAGCCTTGAATGTGGCACTTTCTAAAATCTCAGGGCTAGGACGAAGGAGACATTACTGGTGCCTGCTCGTGATACAGTGATATTATATATATATATATATATATATATATATATATAGTCTTTTGGGCCACACCTGGTGATGCTCAGGGGTTTCTCCTGGCTCTATGCTTAGGAATCACTCCCTGCCAGGGCTTGGGGGACCATATGGAATGCCCAGCCCAGGGAAGCAGCCTAGGCAAGTGAGTGGGCGTGGTCATACGGGCGTGGCCACATTAAAGGTCTCTTGTGGGCATGGCCACGTGGTGTGATTACACGTGCTTGACCTCTCTTGTGGGCTTGGTTGTGTTGGCATGATCACCACTTGGCTGAAAGGGCAGGTGCTTACCACAGTGGTGTTGAGGGGGTAGTGAGGGACTTCTGGGAGCTGCTTGAAGATCCTCAGGCCGGCCCAGCAGGGAAGCAGCAGACAAGGAATGGTGAGGAAGTAGGCAGGTTTGATCTCAGAGCTGTACTTGCCTGTGGGGAACCCTCCACTCAGCAGGAAGCAGCAAGTCAGGCCCCCCAAGGCCATGCTCCCCTGCCCCCGGGCTCTGCCTCCACCTCCCTTGGGATCCTGGGTGACACAGGGGCTTTGCATGAGCCACTTCACGTGCTGCCTCCTTGGAACTCTTCCCTGGTCCCTGGGACTCACCCAAACACTCCCTTGGGCTCAGGGGCTTTTCACTGGTGCTGAAATGGGGTGTCGGGCGTGGGGGGGAGGCAGCCCACTCCTTACCCAAGAGGTTTCCAGGGATGAACACCAGGGTGCTCATGACAAATGACCCGAGCCAGTAAAGTCCGAGGTTCCGATACGTCCTCCTGTGCCAGTGACCACAGCATGATCAGGAGACATGCAGCCCCAGTGCCCACCAAGACAGGTGGGGCGCATTCTTAGCTCCCCTACTCCATCCCAGGACTCTCCAGGGTAGAGGGATAGAAGGGAGTTGGCTGAGAGAGGGGCGGTCAGCGGGCGGCCTGGGCCCAGTCAGAGGGAGCGGAACCCTCAACCCAGTGGTCAGCCCCCCACGCCCTCTTTGGGCTGTGGAGAGTATCCCCCTCGATGGATATCCTCTGCCGGAATCCTGGGAGCCAGGGGGGGTCCGGGGCAAAGCTGTGTGCGCACCTCTTGCGGATGGAGCCGGTCATAGCCAGGTAGAGGAGGAGGTGAACAATGCCGTTCCAGTAGCAGATGGAGATGCCGTGCGAGGTGCGCAGGTATGGATCGCCCTGCGGAGGCGGGGGTCAGGCTCAGACGGGTGCTGGGCTGGGGTTCGCCCAGGCCACTCTCCACCTACCTCCTTGGTGTAGAAATCCATAAAGCTCCCCATATAGCCGTCTTCCCGGAGCGCAATGAGGAGATCCACCATGGACGTGAAGGCCAAGACTGCAAACACTGAAGGGGAGGGCGGGGCCGTGTGGGCGGGGCCCACCGGGTGGGCGTGGCCACACATGTGGATGTGGGCGTGACCTGTGGTGTGGGTGTGGCCACATGGGTGTGGTCTCTAATGTGGGCGTGGCTCTGTGGGCGTGGTTAGGCTATGTCGCCAGGACAGTGCTCTGGAGGGGAGCGTGGGGTTGGTGGTGAACAGGCCTCTCGTGGGGGGCTTGGGGAGGTGTGAACTGGATGGAGGAGGTGGGGGTAGGGTGGTGTCCCTAGTCTGGCTCAAGTAGGCAAGGAGATAAAGTTGTGGGTGAGGCTGGTCTGATCTGATTTGGGTATAGATGGGGTTGAGGCACAGTTTCAGGCCACAAGCAAACTCCTCCTGCTCCCTTCCCCAGCCCACAGCTTACTCGGGCGGAGACACAATCTCTACCCGTTGGGGTTCCCAGGCTGATAGGGGAGGCACTGTTCCCACCCTGATGTCCTGCAGTGATGTGGGCACATTCCTTGCAAGGGGGGGGGCTTCTCTCAGTCTGATGTGGAAAGATTTGGTCTCTGTTCCCAGGAACCCCAAATCTTCTGAGGAAGAGTTCTTCAGTGGACCCCAGTCTGATGGAGGAGGCCCTGGCCAAGCAGGACTACCCAATCTCTCTGAGGGTCTTACCAGCATAGAGTGGGTCATAGAAGTAGATGTCACCCCGAGATAGACTGTAGATGGCCACGAAGAACAGACCAAGGATCAGGAAGCTCATCAGCACCACCCCCAGGGTACTGCGGGGCAGGGAGAGACCTAGTGAGCAGGGTGTGCTGGGTGCCGAGTTCCACGCCACCCAGTGAGGGCAAAGGAGAAGTTCCAGTGACGTTGTCTGTGTCTGTGTGTTTCATCACCAACTTCTCCTGGCTGTTTCCCCTGCCTGGAACACCCAGAACCTCTTTCCCACTTGGCAAACACCTACTCATCCTTCATGATCCAGTACATTCTGCCCCCCTCCAGAAAGCCCTCCATCCTTCTGCAGAGAGGATCTCTGGGCCAAGGACAGAGGGGACTGCTGCATCTTTTGACGCCACAATCTGCTCTTGCTGGTGTGTGCTGTGCTGTTAGTCGACCATGGGGATTCATTCTAGACAGACCCTGCTGTCAGGCTGCACAGAGGAGCGCGCACCCCACAGCTCCCGGAACGCCCAGCTCCTCCCAGTTAAAGTCCAAAGACTTCCCTGAAGCCATGCTCCCTGCCCTGATGGTCTCCATCTGGCTGATAAGGCAGGTCAACCCGAGCAGAGATAAAAGGAGTAGAGACTCCATCACCCCAAATTTGGCCAATAAAAGGTTGGAGAGGAGACACGAGACCCCCAAGGAGACACTGTCACCCGCCCCTGTGACCAATCCACAAGGCCCCGAACTCAAAGACCTCCACCTCCTGCCACCCTCCCACCCAGGACCAGAATCAGCCAGTGGGCACAGCTGTCACCCATGACAACTAGAAAGTTTAGGGTGACCTTTACACAGGGGGCGGGAGGGACCTAGACAGCTTCCCCTCAGGGAAGGAGATGGAGCCGTGTCTGTCACCCAGTGTGGGGTGCAGCTGGACTGGGGACCTGTGGCCGGCCACGGGAACCCCTCCCCAGGGTCTTCTGAGTCAAGGAGCTACAGGAGGCGTGAGGGACACTGAGAGTAGGGTGAGGGTCTCTCAGAGGGATCTGGGGCAGGGGAGGGGACCCTGGGCACACCCTTGGAAAAGCCAGACTCTTCCCCTCCCAGCCAGACGCGGGGCTCTGCTACTCCAGTGCCAAATGTGCCCGCAGCAGCGCTCCAGGCCGCCCCTCCGGCCCCGCCCCCCTCCCCACCCCCGCGGATTCCGAGCTGGGCTTTCGGGGGGAAGGAGGGTTATGCGGGGTAAGTCCCTAGTCCCGGCCCTCCCAACCCTCCCCACCCGCACGCACTGTGAGAGCTCAGCCACCAGGCTAAGCGCGAAGGACAGGGGCAGCGCGCAGAGAGACAGGGCGGCGATCTTGCCGGCCAGCGGCGGGATGTCCATCGCAGTGGCGCCTGGACCCGGCTCCCCTGGGGCCATGATCCTCCACCGCTGCCGGGCTTGCGTTGGGGTGCCCCGCTGGCCCGCCCCGCGCAAAGGTCGGCCCCCGCGGTGTCCGGTCCGCCCTGCCCCGCGCGCTCCCGGGGAGCTCCGGAGGCCCCGCCCCTCCCTGGTCCAACCTCAGTTTCCCCCCCAGTCCGCAGCAGCACCTGGCCTCCGGATGCCACGGCTCCAGAGACCACAAACGCTGTCCAGGGGCGCGGCCTAACATCCTGCTGGGGGCCTCTGCCCACAGCGCAGACACCTCGCCCAGGGTGGGGCCAGGAGTCCAAGGTGGGGCGAGGGGTCTACTGGGCAAGGGTTGGGGGGCATCCTGGCGCGAGGGGGACGCCCTTCAAACTCCAGGATTGCTTGTTCTTGTTCTAGCAGGTTGGGTGTGGGTGTGTCACGGGCTGGGGTGCTGGGGGAGGCAGCGGGTAGGCTGTCTTCGAGACCCCTTCAACCACTTTTTTTCTGGGCGGTTTAGTTTCAGGGGCGGGAGGGGCGGGCCACACACCTGTGGTGCAGGAATGGGCCTGAGCTGGCATGTGCAAGGCAAAGCCTTAACCCCTTCTCCTGCCCTCCACTCCCTGGTCTTAGGGGGCTGCCAGGGCCACGTGGAGAGAACGAGCGTCTCCTGTCCTGGATGGGGGAGCCACTGTGCCCCCAGCCAGAACCATTCTAGTTTGGTCTCCCCTGAGGTCCTTGCTGGGCACTGACTCCACAGGCTTCCCCTGGAGGTCTGACCTAGGTGGGGCAAAGCTCTGGCTCCGCTGGGCTGACCAAAGCTCCAACCTCCTGTCTCCATAGGCTGTGTCTAAGTCTAGTGGTACCCAAGCCTTCCCCACAGGCATTCCCCTGATGTGGGACACCACCACCAGGCAGTCTTCCTGGGACTCTCCTCTGCAGATGGGAGACAGTTGTACCTACAGTGAGCAGCATTTAGAGGTGGTCACTCTGTTGGGGGTAAAGAGTCCTCAGGATCTTGTTGCCACCTCCTGATCAGGACAATAAGGATTCTAGGTGACCTTGACCCAAAACACCTGGACGCCTGGGACCACCTCTGGGGTCCAGAATGAAATCCTGGTGCTTGGAGCTGGCCTGCCAGACCCCCAGCACTACGCATGGGAGAGGCGGGGCGCTGGGCACTGGCCTGGGCTCTGCCTGCAGTGCCTCTGGTGTGGCCGGTACAATGTGGGTAAGGGGTGTCTTGAGCACACAGTGCCCATGGGAGGCAGGGGTCTGAACAGGGAACCCAGGACAGGGGCCCTGGCCAAAGACTTCTACGCATGCCCCGAAGGTGCCAGGCGCTTCCCTAAGTTCACTCCTCCCCTCCAGGACCCTGGCGCAAAGGGGCGCCCTGCACGTGAGGGGTCTTCGCTGCTGTGCCAGGTCCCCCAAGAACAGGAGAGCTCTGTGGCCGCACAGGCGCCGGGACTTTAATACACGGTAGGACACTCGCAAACAGCGGGCGGCAAAGGGGTGGCTGACACACTGTAATCCATGGGTGCAGTCTCGGTCTCGGAAAAAACGGCTGTCCATCTGTCCGTCTGTCCTTCCTGCTGGATCGCTCAGTAGTAAGGCCGCCTGGGGTTGTTCTGCGGGAGACCAAGTCACAAACACTTGTTAAAGCCACACAGAGCTCACGGGTGGGGGGTGAGGGTGGTGATGTGTGGGGGTGGGGAGCTAACATGTGGTGGGGGGGTGGTGCGGGGGGCTCACAGGTGGGATTGAGGGGGGGTGATGTGTGTGGGTGGGGGGCCCACTGGTGGGGGTGAGGTGGCAGTGTGGGGCGGTCAGTGGGTGTGTGGGTGTGAGCAGGGCTTGGGGCTGGGCTGGAAGCGGTGGGGGAGGGGAGGGGACCGGGAAGCAGCAGGGCAAGCGCACCAGGGGGTTGGGCCGGAAGCGGTAGGCCAGCATCATCCGCTTCCGGAAGGCTTCGTACTCATCATCCTCCTTGGACAGCTCCGCGGGCCGGTCGATGCCAAAGCCGGCGCCGTCCACAGTGGTGGTACCCCTGCGGGGGGGCAGAGCGCCGGGGTGAGGGGCACGGGGCGGCCACCCTCCATACCCGTGGGCCAGGGTGCCGAGGCCGTACTCACTTGCTGACAGGGTTCCGGATGCCCTGGCCCTCGGAGCCCAGCCCCTCGCCCTCCTTCCAGCCCATCTTCATGAGCATCTGGTAGCCGATGTTCTCCACCGTCAGCTTGAACTCCTTGTACTCTGAGTAGTCGGGCTCACGGCCTTCCTGCAGGTGGACACGTAAGCCGGCGTGTGTACCAGGGCCAGATGCTCCCCCGGCCGGCCTCAACCCCCGCCACCCCTCCGGAAGCAGCAGCAGGCAGGCTGCAGGCACCGACCCCGACCCCCACCTTCAGGGCCTTGAAGGTTTCCATGAACTTCTCCAGCTCATCGGGCGGCAGGAAGTCCCCAATGAAGTGCTTTCCTCGACCCATCTTGGTCAGCTGCTCTGCCCACTCCCGAGTCTTGTCCATCTCCATGCGCCGCAGCTGGTGCTCCCAGGTGCCCAGTTCGCTGTCCACCTCCTCGTCGCTGTCATAGCCGTGCTGGTGCTGCCGCAGCGCCTTCTCCCAAAGGAGCTGCATGTCCTGCACGGCGCGCTTATGCTGCATGATCATGTCATACATCTGCTGCATCTGGGGGGGGGGGGGGCGGTGAGCGAGGTGTGCGGGGTGCTGGGGCAGCTCCAAGCCGGCCCCGCCCACCTCCCCGCCTCACCTCTTGCTGCTCCTTCAGCTGCTTCTTCTGGGCGTCCGACAGCTCCGTGACGCCCACCAGCCCCACCGGCTTTCCCTTCTCGTAACCCAGCCCCTTGAGATCCTGAACTGGAGAAGAGCCGGGCTTCAGCGGACTTCTGCGCGGCCCTCTGACGAGGTGGCTCTGGGTGGGTCCTGGCCCTGTCCCCAGAGCTGACCATGCCGCTGCTCACACATCTGGGCACTCAGATGCTGACCCAAGTTTGACGCTACAGGACCTGGCAGACTGGCAGAGCCAGGGAAGGTGTGGGAGTGCACACAGGAGGGTGCATGTGTATGTGTGTGGGGTTAGGGCCAGGTGAGTGTGTGTGTGTGTGCGTGCGCGCGCAGAGTGAGGGCTGGGTGTGTATGTGTGTGGGGTGAGGACCGTGTGTGTTTGTGTGAGCACGCAGAGGGCTGGGTGTGTATATGTGCGGGGTGAGGGCTACACGTGTGTGGTGTGTGTGTGTGTGTGTGTGGAGTGAGGGCCGTGTGTGTGTGCATGTGTGCACGCAGAGGGTTGGGTGTGTATGTGTGTGGGGTAAGGGCTACATATGTGTGTGTGCATGTGTGCACATACAGAGTGAGGGCCAGGTGTGTATGTCTGCGGTGAGGGCCACATGTGTATGTGTATGTGGGGTGAGGCCCTTGTGTGTGCTTGTGTGTCTGTGTGTGCACACAGGGTGAGGGCCGTGTGTGTGTGTGTGTGTGTGTGTGTGTGTGTGTGTGTGCGTGCATGCACATACAGGGTAAGGGCTGTGTTTGGCGGTGGGGGTCATGTGTGCGTATGCGGGTGAGCGGAATGCGGGGTGAGCACTGTACTTGTGCGTGTGCATGTCGGTCCCAGGGCTCATCCCGGCCACCAGCTCCTGATTCAGCTTGGGCACACAGCCCCGCACTGCCCCGTGGGCTGGACCCGGCTCAGCCCCGGCTGTGGGTGCAGCAGCTCCTCGGGGAGGGTGTCTTGCATGAAGCAACTGATATTTCACTTGGCTCAGCACTGGAGGGGGCTGCAGGCCCAGCCATTGGATGGGCCAGGGGGGCATGGGACCCCAACACACACCTGCAGGACTGCCTGGGAAACGCCCACAGAGCTGGTCTCCCACCCCTGCTCTCCAGAAGCCAACAGCTGCTTCCAGATGTCACTACTGCGCCCCGACCTCCCCGTCTGTGGGTGTGGGAGAGCGTGGGGGCCAGGCAGCACCCCGCCCCCTGCCCAGGTGCTCCCTGCTAGCTCTCAGGACTCGAACCCAGGCTGAGGCTTCGTACCGCCCCCCCCATGGGCAGACACGCAGGCAGCTGCCCTCCTTCACAGCTGCCGAGGCCCCACACAGTCGCCCCAAGCCTGGCTGCGCCCCGAGCTGACAGCGGTCCCCGGGCCGTCTCTGCCACACGAGGTGTGCCCACCTGACAGCGGCGAGGGCGAGGCGTCCACGTCCCTCTGCACCAGCTCGGCGGGCGGCAGCTCCACCTTGTCCTCCTCTGGCCCCCAGCGGCTCTTCCGTTTCCTCTTGGCTGTGGCTGTGGCCGTGGGCTGCGAGGGGGCGGTGGGGGCAGGCGTGGGGGTGGCCGGAGCAGGTGAGGCAGGGCAGGTGGCCGCGGGGGGCGCGGACCCGGATGGGGTCTCTGCAGGAGGCGTGCACTTGAGGTCGGGGGCCCAGGGGCTGCCCGCGGGGCCAGCCTTGGCCTTCCGGAACTCTTCCAGCTTCTGGCGGTAATACTTGTAGGTGGGGCTGCTGGGTTTGTACAGAAAACTGCAGGAAGAGGAGGGCCAGTGTCAGCGGCCGAGCCCCCCGCAGCCCCTGCCAGAGCCCTGCCCGATCCCTCACCTGAAGGCCTGATTCTCGCGGTTGCTGCGGAGGGCGACGGTTTCTACCTCGGGACCCCCGTCTGCTATGAACCTGGCCAACTTTTCTGCAAGGTTCTTGGCCTCCTCGTCCTCTGGGGGTGAAACTTTAAGCAGGCGGTCAGTACCGAGCTCAACTCACTCACCCACCAGCCTAAGACTGCTAAGAACCCCACAGGCAGGAGGGAGACGATGCGGAGAGAGACAGGCAAACGGGTGTCAGATGGTTGTAAGGACCCAACGTCACGCCCCCCGCCCGGGCCCCCATCTACTGCTCCCAGGGGCCGCCTCTCCTACGGACCTTGGGTCCCACTCAGCTGTGCCAGGACTCAGTCCTAAGCGCCCCGCGCCACCTGTACCCCCACTCAGGGACCCTCTGCCTGAGCACAGGCGCCCTCAGTGCAGTGGCACTTACAATGAGGACGAAGCAGTGAGTGTGGCCCATGTCTCCACCCACCCCCACCCCTGCCCGACCTGATTCTGCAGAGCTCTGCAGGACCACATCTAGGGATGGCACACGCCTGGTGCTGGGCACCCCCCCACCTTTCTGGGAGGCCCCCGCCTGCAGCTTCTGCGCCCCCTTCCTCAGCTCGGCGACTTTCTTCCTGTAGTAGAGGAATTCCCGGCTGTTCTCATTCTGTAAGAACCTGCGGGGGGTTCCGGACAAAGGCCTGTCAGCAGCCGCCCGGGACAGGGCTCCACGGGGTCCCCCTGGGACGCGGGACGCAGGGTACTCACGATAGAGCTGGGTCCGCCTTGTGCTTCTCCAGAGCCGGTGCGGACTCGGGGCCTCCTTCCGCCACAAAGCGGGCCAGATTCTCTATTATTTTCCGAGTCTCGGCTTCCTCTGGGGGTGAAACTTTAAGGGGGCCGTCAGTACGGGGGCTCACCGCACACACCCCCCGTCACCAGGCCCCTCTGCCCGGGCGCGCGCGGGGGCGTCGGGCGAGGCTGGGCGCGGTCCTTGGAGGCGCACTGGGTGGAGGGGGAGGGCCCCCTCCTGTCCTTTCGTGGTCAGTGAGCCCTCAGGCCCTCGGAGGCTCCAAGTCAACTGATTCTGGGCGGGGCTTAAACACACGGTGGCCACCTTCAGTCCACTGCACTGAGGCCAAGGCGGAGGCACGATCGTCCCCTCCGTGGCGGCTGGCGCTGCTTCAGGCCGCGGCCGAGGCCTGTGGGCAGGACCCCCAGGGTCTCAGGCCTCCTTGCCCAGCCGCTCCAAGGTCCTCTCACACACTTCCTGCCCCGCCCCAGTGCAGCTGCGTCTCGGAGAAGTGCTGGTTCCAGGGCTGACTCAGTTTCCAGACCACCGCGGGGTGCTAGGGTGGCGCATGCCACCGGGCTTAAGCAGCCCTCGGGCCTGTGCCGTGAGGAGCTACAAAGACACACGTCGGCCGCGGGTCAGCCGCCGCTTGGGCATGTCGTGGCTGCTCTGGGCCTGCTGGCTCCGGGCGGGCATGGCCCTCTCGTGGGGATGCCCAGGGGACACTGTGACCCATGTCCAGAACACTCATTCCCTGGGCAGCCACACGCCGAGCCTCGGGGTGTCAGGTGACGAAGTGGGACCCGGAAGGCCCTAGATGGGGTGTCTGGAGTCGTGCCCAGTCCTGGCCTCTTCATCGTAGACACAGGCTGGAACAGGCCTTGAGGGCCATGCGCACCGCCTTCCTGGCTGACCTGACGGGGCTCTGGGCCGCTAAGCCGCACTGACAAAAGGACCTGGGGCTCCCTGGGATGGCCGAGTGGTCCCTTGGTTGGCCCCAGCTGTTGGGGTGCTAGGATGGTGGGGGCTGCTCAGGTAGCCGGGGGCCGGGGTCCAGGGCCCCTCCACACAGGGACCAGCCACCCGACCACTGTTCTTCCAGTGCCACAGGGCGTGGGCCCCAGGTGCATGGCACGTCCAGGCCTCCGAGCCGGGCTGAGAACCCCCCCAAACATCTCTCATATGGAGGAAGAGCCACACAGCCCCCTAGTGCCCGGCTCTCCTTGGGGGAGGGCAGAGAGGGAGCCGCGGCCCCCGACTCTTTTACCTTTGATCTCCAGCCACTGCTCCTCATCCTCCTCCTCCTCCTCGTCCGGGGACAGGAAGACACTGGGCCGCTGGGCCACGGGCAGCTGCTTGGCATGCACGTAGCTCCGCGCCTGGCCAGGTGGGCTGCTGAGCAGAGGCGGCCTCTTCCCGGCACGCGGGAGTAGGCGAGGGGGCGCACTGGGTGCGCTGGGGGGGGCATCTTGGGAAGATGAAGGGACCAGGCTCAATGCCAGCACTAGGGCCACCTCACCCTAGGGTGGCGGGCAAGGCCAGCCCACCGGAGCTGTAGCCCTTGGGCGCCAGCTGCCCACCTGTTGCTCAGTGGCGCCAGTCTCGCACATCCACTGACTATTTTGTTTTGGTGCCCTATGGGCAGTGCTCAGGGACGGGATGGGATGCCGGGGACTGAGCCCCGGTGCCTGCGTGCAAGGCAAGCGCCTTCCCTGCTGTGCTATGGTTCTGGCCTAGAACCACCTATTTTTGTTTCTTTGCTTCTCTTTCTTGGAATTTGGAACCGCACCAGGTGGTACTCAGGGATCACTCGTGGCAGAGCTTGGGGGATCTTATGTGGTATCAAGGATCAACCACTGAAGGTCCCCTGGAAGCTGGAGCAAGACCAAAGGGTCCAAGGACTCCATCACTGTCCCTCTGCTAGCCCTTGGTGAGCCTCGGCCAGGGACGGGGCACGCCCTGCTGGCCCCAGCCTGGGCCCACCCCTGCCCTCTGCTCTGTACCCATGGGCCACTTACCAGTGTTGGTCTTTGCTTCCTGTAATTTCAGGAACTGTTGTAGGAAGCTGCCATCATTGGCAAACTTGTTGGAAATGCAGGAGTTGTCTGCGTTCACCATCCTGATGGCAAGAACAAACGGAGGCCTGTTTGGGGGTTCCCACGTGGGCCCCCACACCAGGGGGGCTGAGTGCGGGTGTCTGGAGGGAGGCATGCGGAGGTCCCCCGGGCACAGATGGTGGCATGAATTACACCAGAGGCCCACCAGGCGAGTCTCCTCCTGTACAGCACACTGGACCTGCCCAATTGGTCCCATGCACAGCACACTTTCTTTTTTTTGGCTTTCTGGGTTACACCCAGCAATGCTCAGAAGTTATTCATGGCTCTGCACTCAGGAATTACTCCTGGAAGTGCTTGGGGGACACATGGGATGCCGGGAATCAAACCCAGGTCGGCCATGTGCAAGGCAAATGCCCTCCCCACTGTACTATCACTCCGTCTCCAACAGCCATCCGATCTTGTGTGGCACCTGTACTTTGGCGAAGGAATCTCTGTCTACTACGCTTCTCCTCCCTGCAAACAATGTCCTGCTAAAGCTCAGGACTTAAGTTCTATTTAAAGCCATTTCTAGGGGCCCAAGAGCTTGCACAGGAGTTCAGGCAACTGCCTCACAAGCAGGTGACTCTGGTTTGATCCCTGGCACCATTATGTGGTTCCTCAAATCACATGAGGGTTCACTCCTGAGCACAGAGTCAGTAATAGTTCTTGAGCATTGCCAGGTGTGGCCCCGAAATCCAAATAAATCAAGTAATAAGCTCCAAGAAGCCCTCCTCTCCAACCAAGCTGGACCTTCTCAGTGGCCTCTTCCAAGGTTGAAGGGAAGTCCCCTGAGAGCTATGGCTTCACAGGACTGCAAGGTGGCAAGAGCCTGGGCAAGGAACAGCCGATACTCCTGAGCTATGAGCCCGAGGGCAGGGCACGAACAAGACCTGCCCAACAACAACGGCGTCCTGCTCTGGACGCAAAACCTGCCCCAACAGCAATGGAGTTCTACTGTGGACATATAACCTGCCCCAACAGCAATGGCATCTTGCTCAGTAGTCTGATATCCTGGTAGTCAGACATGCCTAAACTAGACTTTCTTTTGGTACAGGGGTCAAATCTGGGACCCCCCTCCCCAACAAGGCACGTGGTGACCCATGTCCCCAAGTCCTGGCCCCTTGGCCCCACTTGGTACTGAGCCAATGTTCTGGTTCCCACTCCTGGGATTTTTTTCCACACCGTGCACCCCCTGGAAGCCCCCTAAGACCCGCAGATGTCATTTCTCTCCCACCATGCTGCACCCCATAGAGAAGCACCAGCACCCTCTGCCACCCAGCTGGGGCCGGGATCCTTACTCGCCAGGCTGCAGGCTGGCTCCCTGGCTCTGCTTGGCCTTCTGCTCCAGCCGGGCTTCAATCTCCCGCTTTTTCTGGGCAATAAGCTCTTCCTGGTGAAGGATGTTCAAGTTCATCTTTCCGGACTTGGGAGGGGCCACCCCAAACCACCGGTTTGCCTTTCCTGGGGAGACAGAAGCCATACTGTCAGTATTTTTTTTTTTTTTTGTATTTTGGGTCACACCTGGTGATGCACAGGTGTAGGATAACATTGCCACAGGGAGCTCAGGTTTATCGGGTTACACCCATCACAGTGGTCCCGAATCACTCCCATTCCTCTGATTATCTGTAAACTCTTCTCTGTGCTCTCCTCCCCAGCCAGTTAATCACCTTTTCTCCCTAATCAGATTCTGTTAGCTTGTAAAATCAGATCCTTCTAAGGACACTGAACTTGTAAGTTATGTCCTTTCTGTATGGACACAGAAAGACAGTTAATATTATGCTTTATAACTTGGGAGTTGATTGACTCCGAATATTTACTCCTGGGCATCTGCTTTCTTGACTCAGTTGCCCTTAGTTCCTAGCACCCCAAAAGCAGGGTCCCAACGAGAGACTGAATGGACCCAGGACAAGCTGTGAGCTACCCTGGCATCGAAATGGGCCAGGCCAAAGCGCCACGATACTCAACTATAAGTTGAGGGCAAGATCATGGACAAATGCTGTCATGATCCAAAAGTAAGTAACGACGAGACTAGGACCCTGCTGGGGCTAGGAAGACTAACCTGGCCTGAGGACTGTAATACATACATATATATATACATATATATATAATAGCGGAATATATAGTGAGATGTTCTCAGGAAGAACCAAACTAAGTTTATCTCTTACTGTGCTCATATAGAATGACATTGCTAGAAATATTAGAAGTAGACTTACTACAACTACTTAAGTAGATTACTAGCTGAGTAAAGAATACACCCTTGTTGGGATCCCACCCTTGAGCAGATCTCCTAGTAATCTGGAACAAATCTCTTTAGATGAGATTTAATCCTTGAGTTAGTCTCCTCGAGGAGTGGTTTTACCTCTCTTTGCTGATTTGTTAACGTTCACCCACCTTTGTGTCACCACCCTACGTGACTGCTAAGACTGTAAACTCGAAGGGGGCTTGGGCTCAAGAGAGCAGAAGCTGAGGCTGAGGCTCGGGCTCGGGAGCTTGGGTTCCAGAGGGCAGAATCAGAGGTGAGAGTGAAGATTGGAATAAACTACAATTGATACCAACCAGTCTGGCCCTCGTTCACTGCTTTGCCTGCCCATCGCCATTGACCTCCCTGGGGTGGGGGAAACGGCTCGAGACTACCGAACGCGGGCGGTGGGAGAGATGGAGCGCCGCCGGACCTTCTGAAAACACACAGCAGGGGTTACTCCTGGCAGTGCTCATATCACATGGTATGCTGGGAATTGAACCCAGGTCGGCCGCATGCAAGGCAAATGCTATCACTCCAGGCCAGTACCACTTTTGTGCCCAGGGGCTGCTTCAGTTCTGCATGTGTGACCTGCATTCCTGCCAGCTCCCGAATGCTGGGTGAGATGCTGAGAGGGGCATGGAAGACCTCTCAGAACACTGGCCTCAGGCTGGGGGACAACAGACTTGCTGCAAAAATGCAGCTACAGGGGCTGGAGACACAGCACAGCTGGCAGGGCACTTGCCTTGCGTGTGGCTGACCCAGGTTCAGTTCCAAGCGTCCCATATGATCCTCTGAGCATCTCCGGGTGTGGTTCCCAAACCGAAAAACAAAAATAAATGCAGCTACAGAGCCACAAGCCTCCTTGTTGGAAACCAAGACAGTGAAGGTGAGAAATGAGCCTACTCCAGGTGGGGGTAGCCCGAAAGTCACCTCCCAGAGAGGATGGGGAGCACAGAAAGAATCGGGCTGGCCTCAAGGGGCTCTGCAGGTGAGAAGTGGGCCAGACACAATCGCCCGGGCACGGAGAAAGGAAGCTCGGCTGGGGGAGACGACAGTGGCGGCTAGGACTGGAACAGGACCGGGTTTGGGATCTCCTGTGGGTGTGCTGAAAGCATCAGGGAAGAGTAAGACTACAGGACCCCATCAGGACACTGGGGGAATGAGGGTCACAGATGGGGTGCTCAGGATCCTGGCAGGGCTTCTGGGATCACACCCAGGGTCGGCTGTGTGCATGGCAAGTGCCTTATCCATCCCCTGCTACTGTCTGTCCAGACACCTATCAGGCTTTATTTATTTGCTTTTTGGGTCACACCCGGCGATGCACAGGGGTTACTCCTGGCAGTGCTCAGGGGACCATATGAGATGCTGGGAATCGAACCCGGATAGGCCCCGTGCAAGGCAAACGCCCCACCCACTGTCCTATCTCTCCAGCCCCCAGGCTTTATTTTTAAAGGTTTGGGACCACACCTGGCAATACTCAGCACTTACTCCTGGTTCTGCAATCACGGGTCATTCATGGCGGGGCTCAGGGGACCTTACAGGGTGCGGGATCAAAGCTGGGTGGGCCACATGCAAGGCAAACGCCTTACCCTCTGTACTATTGCTCCGGTTCCCCCATTAGAATTTCTGATGCTCATCTTGTCTGAACACAGGGCACAGGCAGTAAGCAAGGAGGAAAACCGGGACGAAGCCTACTGGCTTCCAAGCAAAAGACAAGGTGTGTCTTTAAGATTGGGATGCCACCTGGGGGTTCCCCCCCACCAGACTGGAATAACACCGACATTCCAGGACTGCCCATGCAAGGGCCCTGTGCTGCACCACAGCCAAGAGTAACAGACAAAATCCCCAATTCTGCAAGCAGCTTTTCCAGACGTAGCCAGGGGAGGTTCCCATCTGCTGCCCCACCCTCGGAACGGTCTCGGTCCTCGACACAGCCCATGCCTGGGTCCCCCATCCCCTCACAGGCACCTCCTCGGCCCCAAAATATTCTCCGCCACGAGAACTAGTCTGGGTATTTGCCCTCCGCTGCACAGCCCAATCTCGAAGACAGCAAAGCCCGCGTGCGGGCAGTTCCACACCCCGGCGCGCTTCGGCTGCACTGGTGCTTGGTGCGGGAAAGGCTAGGCTGACCACAACGCTGGCCAGCGGCTGCCAAGACCCAGGATGGCGCGTTCTGGGGCTCCGGGGTGCAGTCTGGAAAAGCGAACGGCTGCCCCGGAGAGAGGGGCCGTAGTGCAGGGGTGACGGCAATTCGGGGCGCGGGGCGGTTATTCGGAGAAAGCTGCGGGGCCAAGCGCCCAGTGGCCTCCCCCAAAAGTGGGCTGCCCGCAGCGCGGCGGGGAGGAAGGGCTCCCGACATTAGACCAGGGGCCGGACAACGGGGCAAGGGGGCCGAGGCCGCTGCGGCGGCTGCAGAGCTTAGGGCCCGCGGGGGCGGGAGGCGGGGGCGACCCTCGCGCCTCGGGCGTTCGTGGTGGGGAGCAGGGTCGGTACCTGCAGCATCCCGAGTGTCCATCTTGAGCCTCCTCCACTCCCACAATGCTCCGGCGCCGCCCGCGAAGAGCCTGTTATAGCGCGCGTGGCCTGCCGGGAGATACAGTCCGCGGCGCTCGACTGCGCCCCGCGGGCAACCACGGCCGGGGAGGGCGGGAACTACGAGTCCCGGCATGCCTTGCGCGCCGGGCCGCGAGCCTCGCGAGGCCCGCCGCTTCCGCCTCCCCGCGACGGCTTGTTGTTGTGGAGGCCAAGATGGCGGCCCAGGCGGCGGCGGCGGCCCAGGCGGCGGCGGCTCAGGCTGCTCAGGCCGAGGCGGCCGAATCGTGGTACCTGGCGCTGCTGGGCTTCGCCGAGCACTTCCGCACGTCCAGCCCGCCCAAGATCCGCCTGTGCGTGCACTGCCTGCAGGCCGTGTTCCCGTTCAAGCCGCCGCAGCGCATCGAGGCCCGCACGCACCTGCAGCTGGGCTCGGTGCTCTACCACCACACCAAGAACAGCGAGCAGGCGCGCAGCCACCTGGAGAAGGCGGTGGGTGCGGCGGGCGGGCGGCCGGTCGCGGCCCCGCGGCTCTCGGGGACCTCGCGCCGCGCCCAACGGCTCGCGGGGCGCCGGCGACCGGTGTCGGCTGCGGCGGGCGCGGGGGGGCCGGGGGGGATCGTCGCCGAGGGGCCTGAGGCGGCCCCAGCAGCCTCGCAGCTCGAGGCTCGGCCGGTCCTGAGGGGACTCGGTCGGCGGACGGCTCGGGGACGGGGATGGTCGCTCCGCCCCCCGCGGCTCCCCGGCCCCGGTGTTTTGCCCAGGGGGTTCTCTTGCCGTCCCCCTCTGGGGGTACCCCTAGAATTAGGTTGGGTCCCTCGTCTTACGGCCGGTGTGGCGGCGCTTGAGCCGAAGCCCCCGACCCCCGAGTGGCTAGAGACCAGGGCGCGGATTGGGGTCCGGGTTGCCGCCAAGACAGCCCGTCCGTGTTTTCCTGAAGTTTTCTCTTGGGGTGCAGCCGCGGGGCAACCTGTCCACCAGGGCCGGCCTGGGGGCCGCCCCGCGCCTTACAGTTGCCCCGCCCCCACCCCTCCCGCGGGCGTCTGTCGTCCCCTGCCCATCTGTGGGGTGGGCACAGACTCTGTTGCCAGCCCTATTCCGCGGAGGCCGAGCGTGGGGCGTCCCTGTGCGTGAGGCCCCTTACTGGGAGGCCATGAGCTGCTTGAGGCAGAAGTCGTGGGGGGCTCCTGTTGGGGGTGACAGCGGAGGCGCTCTCAGGCTGACAGATGGGTCCCAAGCACGCCCCAGATGTCCCGGCCGGTGAGGCAGAGATCTAAGGTGGCCCCAGCTTCCTGGGTGGGGGCTGGAGACTCTCTGGGGCACCCTCTCCTTACTGCCAGGTTGGGGCCCTTCCCTTGGCCGTTTCACCTCACACTCCTCCCTTTTACCCCTTGTTTTGGGAGCTAATGTTTATTTTTGTCTGGGGGGCCACACCCAGCTGTGCTCAGGGGTCACTGCTGGCCGAGGCTCCCGGTCAGCGTGTTATCCTCAGATCTCTGCATCTCCCCGTCTTTAAATGTTACTTCCATTAAGGGGTGGAAGACCCCAGCAGTGGCCATCGCTTCCTCCTGCCCCTCCCCCACCCGAGGCAGCCCCCCTCCCCCAGCGATTCCCACCCCCTTGTGTGTTGGAGGAAAGCCCCCTCCCCAGTCAGTCCCCTTCCAGTAGGGCTGGCTGGGCACCATCGGGTTGGGGCAGCCCACGGGCTGTGCCAAGGCAGGACTAATGCTTCTCTTTGTCTCTTTCAGTGGCTGATATCCCAGCAAGTATCCTTGTCTCCTGAGGAGGCCCTGCTGCTGGCAGGAGCCTCTCTCCCGGGTAGCCCCAAGAATGGCCTCTCCCAGACACCCCCTCAGACCCGCCTCTCTCAGACACCCCCTCAGAAGCCCCCCTAGCACTTCTAGATGCCGTCCCCCTCAGACCCACAGTCTCACAGGGTCCCCCGACCCCTCTCTGAGTCCCCTTAGCCAGAAGAGAGCAGGGTGCTAGTGCAGACGGAGTTGGAGTCAGAGCCGGCCAGTTTCTGGCGTCTGTGCCCCTTAACTGCCCCCGCCAGATCCCACAGTTTGAAGATGTGAAGTTCGAGGCAGCAAGTCTCCTGTCGGAGCTGTACTGTCAGGAGGTGAGCGCGCACGCAGAGGCCCAAGCCCCTGGGGTCTCCCATGGCCCCCCTCAAGCCATCTTGGCCCCCTTTTCCTCCTCACCCCTGGTGGGCCCCCCTGTCCTGGGGGAGCTGACGGGCTCCGCTCCTGCCTGCAGAACTCGGTGGATGCCGCCAAGCCGCTGCTGCGTAAGGCCATCCAGATCTCCCAGCAGACGCCCTACTGGCATTGCCGCCTGCTCTTCCAGCTCGCCGTGAGTGCCGGGCCTTCAGGGAGGGGTGGGGGGTGAGGAGGCAGCCCTGGAGCCCTCGGGACCAGATCTCCTCTCGCCCCCCAGCAACTGCATACGCTGGAGAAGGACCTGGTGTCGGCCTGCGACCTCCTGGGCGTGGGGGCCGAGTATGCCCGCGTGGTGGGATCCGAGTACACCCGGTGAGCACGACCTCTGACCCCGGACAGCCGCGGGGAGGGGGGGCTCTAGGTCCTCTCATCTCCTGGACACCGTGCCAGATGGGGGACTCCTTGGGAGATGTGAACATGGGTCCAGGGGATGCCTTCCACATGCAGCTTTCCCAGCATGCGCCATGGCCCCCCAGTCCATCTCCCTAGAAGAAGCCCCCAGGCACCTGGCAGCAAGTTCTGGAAGGTTCCCCTGGGGTCGAGTGCCCCTCTCCCCAGGCCTGTTCCTCTTCTGAGCATGGATGCGCCAGCCAGCGGACGCTTCCTGTTGGTCCCTACCTGCTCCCTGCCAACTGCAGTGGGCCCGGGGGTGCTCAGGCTTTGGAAGGCACCAGGGTGACAGGCACGGTGTTCCCGGACGCAGACAGGCGGGCTTTGTGGGTGTGCACCCCATTCTAAAGCCAGAGGATGGCACAGTGGCCACAGCATATGAGAGGCGGGAACTGGGGGACCCTCGGGGACCCACCCTCCCTGCTCCAGCTCTGCTCCCCCCCTGCCCGGGTCTGCCATGTCAGGAGGGGACACGGACACTCACTCTGTGCAGAGCCTCCACCCGCCCCAGTTGAGTGAGTGTGTCAACCCCACAGAGAAGCAAAAGCCCTCCGGAACGAGGACAGTCGGACGGCCGCACAGTGGCTGCGTCCTGGGGACCATTGGGCTGTCCCCTCGGCTGTCCCCGCAGTGGCGTGCTGGGTCCCCAAGCACGGGGACTGCCCTGTCTTCCCAGGGGGCGCTGGGCCTCGCCGACTGACCCCCCCCTCTCTCCCAGGGCGCTGTTTCTGCTCAGCAAAGGGATGGTAAGTGGGGGTGAGTGGCCGGCCCTGTGGGGCTCAGCGGGGGGCATGTGTGGAGCAGGGCTCACGCCTGGCACCCCCACCAGCTGCTGCTGATGGAGCGCAAGCTGCAGGAGGTGCACCCGCTGCTGACGCTGTGCGGGCAGATTGTGGAGAGCTGGCAGGGGCACCCCATCCAGAAGGAGGCCCTGCGCGTCTTTTTCCTGGTGCTCCAGGTCACCCACTACCTGGACGCTGGGCAGGTGAGGAAGGGTGTCTGCTGGGGCCAACACTGGTCTCAGCAACCTTGTGTGGTCATGGATATCATGCTGATGGGCTGGGCATCTTGGCCGCAGAAGGGCTTGTCCTGATCACCTTGCCACTTCGCCCATCAGTACTGGAGCTTCTAGAATGTGCCTTCCCATCAGGCACTGGACAAGAGCCTTCTTGGTGCCCACTGTTCATGACACTCATCGGGGCTCTGCTCACTGCTGCAAAGGAGAGACACCCCCTCCCAGGGGTGCTATCAGCCTTGGGGGTGTCTGGGAGCCCTGGCCTGGGGGGCACTGCTCCGATGGCATCTGTGTCGGCTCCTGACTGAGGCCTGGCCTGGCTCAGCACCCAGCTGCCTGCACCTGGTCCTGGCACCCTCATGGTCTGGGGGTTGTAGAGACTTTGGGGTGCTATGGGGAGCCCTGGGCCGTGGGGTGGTTCTGGGGGTCACGGGCTGGTTGTGCCTGGTTCGCGCGCCTGAGCGGGCCTGCTGGCAGGTGAAGAGCGTGAAGCCATGCCTAAAGCAGCTGCAGCAGTGCATCCAGACCATCTCCACGCTGCACGACGACGAGATCCTGCCCAGCAACCCTGCTGACCTCTTCCACTGGCTGCCCAAGGAGCACATGTGCGTGCTGGTCTACCTGGTGAGTTCCAGGGCGGGCCAGCGGCAGTGGGGCACAGCCACCCGGGGCTCCAGTGACAGTGCGTGCTGTGTGCAGGTCACGGTGATGCACTCCATGCAGGCCGGCTACCTGGAAAAGGCGCAGAAGTACACGGACAAGGCGCTCATGCAGCTGGAGAAGCTCAAGAGTGAGTGCAGGGGTGGGGACACGCACACTCCCTCTGGGCCCCATCACCCTGACACCCCAGTCCCAGCAACCTGACCCCGCCTCCTCGCCCTGGCCCCGCCCCTTCGCCCCTTTTCTGACCACACCCCTTTGCCCTGACCCCACCCCATTATTCACCCCTCCCAATCCCTTCACCCTGGCTTCACCCCTTCACTGCCACTTTGTGCCCTAACTCCATCCCATCCCCTGTCCCCACAGTGCTGGACTGCAGCCCTATCTTGTCTTCCTTCCAAGTCATCCTGCTGGAGCACATCATCATGTGCAGGCTCGTCACAGGCCACAAGGCCACAGCACTGCAGGAGGTGTGGGGGTGGGGTTCATGGGACCCTGGGGGGCCTGGGGCCATGACACAGGGTCTGTGGGTGTAGGCTGTGGGTGGGGGGTGCGTCTCGTTCAGGGACATCAGCAAGTCTGCTTGAGTCTGGGGACCCGTCCTGGTGGCATAGCAAGTGGGTGACAGCCCTGCCTGTGCCCACAGATCTCACAGGTCTGCCAGCTGTGCCAGCAGTCCCCCCGGCTCTTCTCCAACCACGCGGCTCAGCTGCACACGCTGTTGGTGAGTGGGGCAGCCCGGCTTACCCCCTGAATGGGAAGGGGCTAGTGAGGGGTCATCCCAGCTGTCCCCCATTCCAAGGGGTGCTTGCGGGTGGTGGGCAGGGGCAGGCGGGGGCCCATGGGCCCTG